CTTCCTTATTGTCTGTTGTAAAACAAATGCAATAATTTTCCTGACAAGATGTCATGGAACAATGTAATTTAGTCAAGACAATTTAAAGTCTAACATTTAAATGTTCCTGCAATGTGCAGTGTTATTTACGGGTGAAGTTAATTGCCAGAACTAGAGGTGAGAACACTGCGTTATTACATGGTGTTACTGACCTGCAAATCATTATAGACAGACAATAGGAAAACATAAGCCTAGACTTTGTTTATTAATATCATCATATAATAATCCGTGCGTTTGGTAAAGTGCTTTATCACATTGGAAGGATGTCTCAAAGCGCTTGACAGGATTTAGTGAAGTGGAGTGACCGTATTATCACAGTCTTTAATCCAACCTATTAACCTACTCAAGTGAGCAAATAGAGAGAAACACTGGTTTGTAATTAAAAGCTTACTCAAACTGTAAACAAACTTGTTAAACAAATAACTTGAAAGTGTCCTATTAAGGTGACTATTTATGTGTGCTAGTTATTCCACTGACTCAGTCAGGAGCACTCTTGTCTGAGTCAGAAGGTTGTGGTTTTCAAGCCCCACTTCGCAACTCAGAATTCACAGTCCAGGCTGTGCAAGTGATGAAGTGAGCTGCATCGTCAGAGGTGCCACACTTCACTTTATGGCTGTTTGTCGGGCATTGCTGTGCACAAATTGGCTTCTGTGTTTGTCTACAACTATACACAGTAAATCCTGTGAAGCACTTCGAGATGTTCTGATGAGATAAATACCTATGTCAGCTGCAAAGATTATTATTTGCACATCATGTATTCCTCGCTACACTCTGTAGTGTTCAGATATCTTGAAATGGACCTTCTGTTCATCCTGTAGCTAACTCTATGAAGCGCTGGAGTCAAGTGAAGTGAGATGAACGAAGAATGCTTCATGTTCTTATGTCAAACTGCGAAAATTAGTTTTTAACTAAATGTGATACTACCATCTACTGGAAGACCATCAGTACTGAACCAAGTGTTATTACTGTATTACAGGTTATTCTATTCATTTGGAATGTCAACTTTTTATTGAGGGAATGAGAGACACTGGGTTAATCTGCAGCTAATGGAGTCCTGTAGTTTACTGGTTAGAGCACTCGCCTTGCAAGTGAAAGGATCTGGGTTTGATTCCCGGGCAGGGCGAAACTTTAGGCAAGTTTCCTCACTCCATTCTGTTTACCAGCAGTGTATAGGAACCCGGTTGTTAGTCGATTGGCAGATCACATTTCTGGTGGTAATAATCCCTTCAAAAAAAATAAAATAATCATTTGGTCACTCAACCCTCGACTGTTCGTGGGACACTGCTGTGTGCAATTCGCTGCCTTGTTTCACACACAAAATATACAGTCAATTCACTTTACAGTATATTATGTGAAGCGCTTTGATACGTCTCAAAGATATAAGGCGCTATATCATTTGCAAGGATTATTATAAGATCCTAAATGTTGGTGAGCAAAATGAGCAGGAGAGGTTTGGAAAAGGCCCTTCCAGCAGTTGATTTCATTCTCAAAACCTTCCTCTTTGACCATGCTTTGGTCATCTTCCTACCCTCGTCTCAACTTGGCTCCCACCCCTCTTGTGTCCAACCCACAGCTCGTGTGCAAACACCCTTTAATATTGTTCCTCTTCATACAAATTTCTAATTCCTTTTACCCTTACTGAATTTCTCTCCATTCAACAATAGAATGGCTTTGAAATTCCAATAGCCTAACATTGGGAGCTGGAGACCACTCTAACATTAGGACCTTCGGGATTGAAACGGTTAACTCCCGACTAAATTCTGCCTGAGTCAGTTGTGTTAGGAGCATCTTTGCTAAGAATCTCCCATTGCAAAATGTCAGAGATTATAAGAAACAAATGACCTAACAATGTTTGCTGTGGAATTTCATTTCCAGACAGCTTTCTGAAACTGAACATTTGCCTGAAAAGTATGAATTGTGGCCACAAACAACAACTTGCACTTATACCTTCCCCCTCCACTCAGGGTAGCGTCTCAGAGCACTTCACAGTGGCAGAGTCTGACTCCAAACCAAGGGGGTGGTGAGGTGACCGTAAGCTAGATAATTATTTGGGGAGGACAAGTTTGCAGGACTATGGGGAGTGGGATTGATTTGGAAGCTCTTTTCATAGAGCCGGCACAGACACAATGGGCCGAATGGCCTCCTTCTGTGCTGTATAATTCTATGATTATATGAAGCACGGTTGAAAAGGAAGGTTTTCAGGCGGGACTTGAAAAAGGGGAGATTTTTGAAAAAACAGATTTACTGTTACGTTAGGCTGCTCGGGGTCACTTTTCCTTTAATGTGGCTAATTATTGCAGTGAACCCTATTGACTGGATTTGCCCCCTGGAGTTTCTCTTGCGAAAATCACTGCATCTGCAGAGCTGTGCACAATATTGATTGAAAATTATTTCTCCAGCTTTCGGCTTATTGACTGAACTTTTTAATGATATAAAGGCTTAACAACAACTTGTATTTATGTAGCAACAACAACAACAACAAGATTGAATTTATAGAACGCCTTTCACGTCGGGAGGACGTCCCAAGGCGTTGGACAGTTGGGTCGGAAACCGAGCAGGGGTTCAGGGTGAGGGAAGGGAGGGAGCGAGGAGGGGGTGAAGGCACGGTTGAAGAGAAAGGTCTTGAGACCGGCCTTGAAGGAGGAAAGGGAGGAAGCGGCGAAGGCAATGGGGGATGGAGTTCAAGAGCCTCGGGGCTGAGAGGCTGAAGGCCCGGCCACCGATGGTAGGGCGGTTGGGGCGGGGGATGTGGAGCAGACTGGAGCCAGAGGAACAGAGGGTACGGGCAGATACGTGGGGGGAAAGTAGGTCGGAGAGGTAGGAGGGAGCGAGGCCGTGAATAGCCTTGTAGGTGAGGATCTTGGATTCGATCCTCTGGGGGATGGGGAGCCAGTGGAGGTCAGCGAGGGTAGGAGTGATGTGGTGCGGGACAGTACACGAGCTGCAGAGTTCTGAATGACCTGGCGAAGGTCATTCAGACCTTCGGGAAGGCCGGCGAGGAGAGTTCCTGTAGTCCAGCCTTGAGGTGATAAAGCAGCCAAAAGATTGCACCCCCCTGGTCTAAGGAGACAGAGGGCAGTGGGTATGGAGTCACGGGCCAAAGGGTAAAGAGTTACAAAGGAAATGGGAGAAGAATCAGAAATTCTAGTGTGAACAAGCCATTTGAAAGTTAACAACCTGGATCAATGACAACAACAACTTGCACTTACAAAGCACCCTCCACGCAGGGTAGCATTTAACAGTGGCGGAGACTGACTCTGAGTCGGGGGCGGAAGTGGCCGTAAGCACGGTCTAAAAGGAAGATTTTCAGGTGGGACTTGAAAAAGGGGAGGGGGGGCAAGGCACAGAGATTGAGGGAGAGTGTTCCAGAGTTTCGGGGCATAATAGCTCACTCAATGCTCGATCTCCAATGGTGGAGGGTGCGAGGAGCTGGTGCCAGTCGAGGGGAGGTGCCGGGTGGTGGACTAGGGAGTGAGGAGGTCGGGGAGGTGCCAGAGAGTAAAGGGATTTCAACACGAGTGTAAGGAACTTGAAGTTGATCTTTCGGTGATGGGGAGCCAGTGGAGCCTGGGCCAGAACTGGTGAGATGTGGGGACGGAGTTTGGTCCGGGTCAGTATGCGGACGGTGGAGTCCGAATGAGCTGGATTTTGGAATAGTGGAGCTGGTGAGTGCGTCGGGAGGTGACAAATACATGACAAAAGGACAAAATCTACTTGATATTCATAGAGAGGGAGAGCGAGAGTAACTGGTTATGAAGCTAACGTATCCCGTGTCTCTTTTTACTGGAAAGCAACGGGATGGTTTCTGAACTGTGACAAGCAACAGACATGAGATGACTTGCTTCCACGCTCCCAAACTGCAGTGTGGAACACGCTATTCACATGAAGTCAAACAGCTGTAAGTCAGAGAGCAGTTTTGAAAGCAACGTTGTCTTAGCTGAGTTAGCTGGTCTCAGGCAGGGCAGAGGTTGATATGGAAAAATTGGCCGCTGCTCCTGGAGTAGAAGAAACCATCACACTTCAGGTTGCTGTGGAGTGAATCTTGTTGGAAAGTGTGGGCCTGTAGAGGTCAGCTGGGGGCAAACTCACTACCGGCTGCACTGCCCCCACGCAACACTGCATAGGCTCACACGTGGAGAGAGGGTTAAGAGACTGTAGAGCAGCGAGGCCCGGTATAACAGATGGGAAGAAGCTCAGAACAAACTCCCACCCACCCCTCCAAAAAACCTTCATCACGGAATGAGAATTCAGTTGAACAAATGAAAATGGAAACAAAGCCCTGAAAATGCTGAACACTGTGACGTATTCGCATCATTTAATACGCAGCCAATCTTCACCCACTGAGAGTAATTTGTCATCAGGGACAACTTTTTTTTAACTTTACCACGCAAAAGCATTTTGCAATTATTAACTTTGCAAGTGTTGTTCTCGTTTGCATCGTGTGTTTACGATAAATTGAGAATTCTTTGCTTCTTGGTTCCTTTGTTTTAAACTCCCTGGAAATCAAGTTTTGGAAAGTTTAAAAGTTTAAAATTCAAGGTTGAACTCACCATTACAAAAATAAAACCAGCAGAAATGTTTGAAGAAATTTTCACTGAGCCTTTTTTAACTTCTTATTCGGCCTTACTCATTGGGTGACTTCCACCAGAAGTGGCTCGGTTACCTAGAAAGGGCTCATCTTATCCCTTCTGCAAGATAAATGGCTTCCTTCATTGTGAGGCTGGGAAGCCACTGAAATTCCCTTACTTGATAGTGAGGAGTTGAAGACGGCAACATTGGGAGCGAGTATGTGGGTGCCAAAGGGAGGCAGAGCGGAGTTGACAATCTGTTGCTCTAATGATGATCTGCTACCAGTGGTCTTTTGCATCTTCTTAAAAGACAGGATAGTGAAGGAGTGTCGTGTGCAATTTGGCTGCCATATTTGCTTACAAATCACAGGCAATACAATAAATAGTACTTACTTTAAAGTTGTTATGAAATTTTTTAATATTATAGGCTCTATATGCAAACACAATGTTTATTATAAGGATTGCATATTGTATTTATCAAATATGCTAATACGATCAGGCAGCAGAACATCAGCCGTCTGTGAAACTTTATTACTGGCAATTTGGGAGAGATTTGGATTGTTTTTCTATGGTGCCCAACTGGAAATGACAGCCTGGTCACTATATTGTCGCTCGGCCAAACTATGGATATCACTGAAATGCTTTCAGGAGCTAAACCCTCTCCTTGGAGGGGAAAGTGGGATGTATTCAGTTGTGGGAGTTCATTATCCACTTTACAAACCCAGTTCTTTATCTGATTTACATTGCAGGCAGCTTTGCAGGCTTATCGATTAAGACTTTGCTGCTTCATTGTATTTTAGCTGAAAATCTCTCCCTGGAAATAGTCCTACCGGCTCCCGCTTCAGGCCTAATGTCAATCAACAGGACATCTTCATAACGCGTGAAATGTTCACAAGAATTTTCTGTCAGTTGTACCCAGGCAAAGGAAGCTTTTGTCCTTCTTTTGCTTCAAAGAAGGTGTACGAGAGGGTGATGGTTTCCACTCGTGCCATCCGTGGATCTTCAGCAAATTCTGGGTCAATGTAGAAAAAGACAGGCATGTCCACCTCCTCATGGGGGTTCAGCCGCTGCTCCTCAAAGCAAAAGCACTGAAACAGAGAGAGGCAGAAGAGAGAGAGACTTAAATTTGCCGCCACCAAAGACTTGGCCATTGATAAAATGACTGAATGTTCCTCATTCACAAATGTACCCTTTCTTCTCTATTCTGAGCTCAGTAGCTTCAATGCCAGATGTCAGATCAAATCTCGGCAGCAGGTCCACTCAGCCATTCACCATTCCAAGACTGGTGAAGTGATTACCAAGTGTACTTCAAGGTATTGCTGAAGTTTGACCTGCCTGGGCTGGCTGATCAATGACACTGGGAGGCACACACATACCCTCAGTCTGGTGATCCAAACCCATGTAGGCTACTCCCCAGAAAAGCTGAAGGCTCGGGCGCCAATGGTGAGGCAGGCAGGGCATGGTACATGAAGCAGGCCAGTGCCCGCTGAGCAGAGGAAGTGGATAGGTTGGTGGAGGAGCGAGGCTGTGGAGGGCTTTAAGCGCACGGACGAAGATTTTAAACTCGATTCTTTGAGGGATGGGAGAGCTGGCCGAGGACAATTATAATAATAACCTTGCATTTGATATATAGCGCTTATCACATCTTCAAAGCATCTCAAAGCGCTTCAGACTATACTGTAAAATGAATTCACTGTGTTTTGTGGGCGAAACATGGGGATGATCGGTTCACCGACCGTGGGACGGGATAATAATAATCCTTACATTTGATGTAATGCTTTTCGTGTCTGCCAGACGTCTCAAAGCGCTTCACACAACAGACTGTAAAGTTAATTGACTATTTTTTGTGGGCAAAGTGCGGCAGCCAATCAATCGTCGTCAGAATGACTGTGGTCGTGGACCCGAAACATTGATTCACTTTCCTTTCTCCATAGATGCTGCCTGACCTGCTGAGTTTTCCCAGCGACTTGTTTTGCTTCAGATTTCCAGCATCTGCAGTATTCTGCATTCAGGTTTAATTATTTTGTTTCAGTCAGAAATCTGAAAATGAGCAACCCAGGGTGTCTATCAGCAGGTTCACTCCTCTGGTTACTCATCCGCATTGATTTGATGTCTGTACCTGTATTTTGTTGAAGTACTGCCCTGCGTCAAAGGGCACCACATTATAGGTAGAAATTCCAATGACTGGCTTATCAGTAGGGTTCTTCGCTTTATAAAATGCCAGGGCAGTTTCTCCGGGAACAACCTGAGCAAACATTCAAAACAAAACAAAGGCTCATGAGGTTCGAGTCTGATCAGTGCCACTTCATAATATAAATACTTGCATTTGGTCTAGAGCCTTTCAGGTCAGGAGAACGTCTGAAAGTGCTTCATGTGATTTACAGTAAAATGTAATGACTGTATTTTGTAGGCTTGACAAACAGAATCACTGAAGACTATTTCAGCAGCTGGCCAAAGGGAACAGCACCAGGACATCAATAAAACAACATCTAAACTATATTAATAATTTGATTTTGATGTAGCGCCTTATCACGTCATTGAGGCGTCTCCAAGCTCTTCACAGAACATACTGTGAATTGACTGTATACTTTGGGGGCGAAACTTGGTAGCCAATCGCGCACAGCAATTGTGGATTGAGTGATCACATTATTATTAAGCTCTCTGCTTCACAAGCTCTTATCGGAGTCTTCTTGTAACAGTTGTGCATAAAATCACTGTGTGCAGGAGCACAATGAAGCTTACCTAATGAATGCTCCAGTAACATTAGCCTAAATGCTGACTTACAAGCCGCAGTGTGGGTTCTAAATCACAGCTTCTGATCTATAAGTCAAAGCGCTAACCATGTGTTAATTCGAATGAAAAGGCGTATTTGGTAACCAGCAAAACTTCCCCGAGTTGGGTTTTACTTTAATGGTTTTATTAACCAGAATTAGGACAGCTTGCGTGCTGAAGTTGTGGTGATTGGGGGGAGGGGGAAACAGTGGACATACATACAGTGACAAGACGAAAAGACTGGTGAGAGGACTCAAGGCCTTATATGTAATTCACAAAATGGTCAGTCGTTCGCTAAACAAATTGCAGCAGAAACATCACATGTCAAAGTGAACATCAGTTGAGGCAGCCCCTCATCACAGTCACTGTTAAATATCCTGATAGCTCGGTGAATAACCCCCACTCGCCCGCCGGAACTTGTGCACTGTAAAATGTCTGCAACTGTTTAATCGATGACCCCATACCCAGCTGAAACCAATTCTACGGATGGAGCACAGTGCTGTGTTCAGAACTGGCGTGCAATGCAAAATTGTTTTCACACATATGATAAATACTTTCAAACCCTGTGGAGGTCTAAACTGATCCCTAAAAATATCAATCCATATAACTCTGGCATGGTACTAGATTGACTTTGAAATATATTGGCATTATGAAAGTTGTTGCAAAATGAACACCTGCACTATTTTTAAAACGGGCTGTAAAAAAATTCCTGCATAACTGGTAGTTTGGGAAAGTAAACTGACAATCCTTCTTGTGTGTGTGTGTGGGGGGAGGGGGGAAGGCAGGGCTGTAGATTTAGCTATTGCTCCATAAAGACACAGAGATTGACACCTCTCACCATGCAGGTGACAATACAAAATTACACGTCGGGAGGAAGTCCCAAGGCGCTGGACAGTCAGGGAACCGCTTTGAAGTTTAATTATTCTTGGCTAGTGACTTGATCCTGTTTTCCCCACAGCCAGCTGATGGCTGTAGCTGGATCTCACTTACATAGATTTCACTTTGTTGGGGTCTGAAGTTCCAGTGTAGGCTGGCATGAACGTCAGCATTGAAAGCGACTTTAATAATTCGGTCCTTCACAGGAGTCATCGTCTCCACCTGCTCCACATTGTGACCGGCCACTGCAGCTCCCCCCAGCCCTGTTGCCTGGAAACACACAACAACAACAAATTACATTTATATCGTGTCTTTCACGTCAGGGGGGGGTCATCCCAAGGCGCTGGACAATTAGGAATTCGGACTCGAGCACGGGGTTGGGATTAGGAGGTGTGGAGGGGGGAGTAGGAAGGTGACCGAAGGCACGGTCAAATAGGAGGGTCTTGAGACGTGCCTTAAGGAGGCAAGGGTGGGAGCAAGGCAAACAGACTGTGGGAAGGAATTCCTAAGGGTGGGGGCAAAGAGGCTGAAGGCCCGACCACCGATGGTGGGGTGGGCCGGGCGGTAGATGTGGAGCGGGCTGGAGCCTGCTGAACGGAGGGATCGGAGAGGTCGATATGACACAACAAACACTGAACATTCTCCATGCTTTCCTGAAGGTCACTCATGCTATGCATTCAGGTATGTACGTATGTATGCGTGTGAATGTGTGTGTGTGTATATGGGGGGTGTCTGATGCCAAAAGCCCTTGGCAAACTTTTGATTAAGTCACTGGAAGAAGATCTAAAGTTGCAACCTGAGTGACCTCTCCTCCCTAACTCTGGAGCCCAGTGCAACACACAATTGCTGACATCAGTTCATTGGGACTTTCCTGATCCTAGTGGAGTCCTGTAGCTCAGTGGTTAGAGCACTCGCTTTGCAAGTGAGAGACCTGAGTTCAATTCCAGGCAGAGGGCGAAACCTTGGGCAAGTTTCCTTACTCCACACAGAGCCTAATAATAATCCTCCAAAACCAAAAACAATAATAAATTGTCATTTTCAATCTACGACTGTTTGTGGGACATTGCTGTGCGCAATTGGCTGCCGCGTTCGCCCACAAATATACAGTCAATTCACTTTACAGTGTGTTCTGTGAAGCGCTTTGGGACGTCGTCCTGACGTGAAAAGCGATATATCAAATGCGAGGATTATTATTATTATTATCCTCTTGGCTCTGTTCTGCACTGGCCAATGCCTTTGGGAGAAGTAATTCTGCAAATTCCACGAGTTAATGGATATTCAGGTTTAACGACAGTGGATATTTTATGGAACTGAGCAACCCCAAAGTTTTTTTAAAAAAATGGTATTAAATATCACTTCTTTATTGATCTAAAAATCAGTATTTTGTCTTCCTGAATAGTTTTTGAATATGGCATTTAACAATCCAGTGCAAGTTTTCTACACCAAAAATTATGATCTTATAATAATATTCCTTGCATTTGCTATGGCGCCTTATCACACCTCATTATAAAGCACATGGTTTTCCTGACCTGGCAGTAAAGTCTGTACAGAGGCACTGCTGCGTAGGACATGCCGATCATACCGATGGCCGCAGCCGCCACATACGTCAGCACCGTTTTATTCCTCCTTCTCCACTCTTCCTCCTGGTTCTGGGTGAAGGGATTCTTATGGCGCTTCATGCCTCGTTTCGGCTGCTGAAAGCTCAGTTTCTGAGGCACAAGTTGGCTAAGCTTTGGGCGCAGTCCTGGGGTGGTCATTTGCTGGACTGCCCTCGCGCAGGCTCTGCACGTGGCGGTCAGGTACACCTTGGAAGTCCTTGTCCAACATAAGGGCTGCCACAGCCCGGGGGAGCGCGGATTCAACCGGATCATGGTCTTATCGGGTAACGTTCACTGTGCAAATAAGAGAATATTCTTCTTCCAACATCTGAAATCAAACATAAACAACAGCTATGAGGACACATCAAAAGTAGGACTAATGACCACTCCAGAACGGGGTTAACAATAATATTGTTATTAATGTTATTGTCATTGAGGGAATCCTCTCACGCATTTCACGCGGCGCTGTGTACCACAGTGAGGACTCAAACCCGGAGTCTGATGTCAAACAGCCAACTGGTGACTGTGTTCCCGGGGGAGTGGGGTCTGGAGATGGCTGAGACCAGAATGGGGGCCACAGCCCTCGGTCGCGGTTGGGCTGGTGAGCGCGGGCCGGACCGCGGTATTCCAGGCCGCAGTCGGTCAAACAGAGGCCGTAAACCCTTACACACGTGAGTGGGTGAGGTGTTCAGATGAGAGAGGGGGAGAGGGCGCACACAGGACAGGACTATTATTATTAATAATATTGTTATTAATGTTATTGTCATTGAGGGCCGATTGAGGAGATTCTCTCTGTGGAGGTCTCGGCCTCGGGTCAGGCGGGTCCCCGGTCATCCTCTCACTCACCTCCCGTTAACCCTGACGGGCAGCCGGTGTTTGCCGGACACGGGGAGGTCAGCGCCGCTGCCCCCGAGGGCTGAGGTTTGCAGCTGTGACCGCCCCCACCGGCTGCAGGTCCCCCGCCAGCAACATGGCGGCCCGCCCGGTCCCCGCCCGCGAGCACACACACCACTGCCTGCCCCGAACCCCCTCACTCACCCACCCACCCCGCCACTGCTCTCCGCGGGTAGGCTTCACTGCCTTTAGGCTCCGTCCGCAAACAAATAGTTTTTTTAAAAACGGAGCGATTCGCTCTCCACAATGAAAAATGTAATTCCAAAACGAAACGTAATTACCGGCATTTACCATAACCAGCTACAAACAGGCGAGGACCCCCGGCCACTCTCACCGGTACCGAACTACACCTCCCGTCCTGCTTTGCGAGCAGAGGCCCCCACCGCCCCGTCCTCCTGCCGCAGCCGCGGGCCGCCGTGCATGCCGGGCACTGTCGTGCCTGTAAGCCACGTGACACCGCCACTCGCTCAGCCGGTGGAGAGCGGGAGACTGCAACTCCCAGGGTGCACGGCGCCGGCCAGGCGCAGGCGCGCTGCCGCTTATTGTGTTGGGTGAGAAGGAGCTGAGTGAAGATGCGCAGGTAAATCAGAGCGGGAGAGGGAGGGAGGATTAATGGCCTTTATATCAGGAAGGAGCCGCCAGTGCCGCTTTGGTTCAGCAGCACAACTGCGGGGCTCTGCTCCAGTCTGGGGGGCGGCTCAGAGTGCTGACTCTGAACACCCCAACAACAGACTGGGGGGGGGGAGGGTGATGGCTGTCTGGAACAGCCATGGAAACAAGTGCAACATCATTAGGAACTCGCAAAGAGAGCGGTTTCCCCAAAATAGGGAAAGCCTTTGCTCCACTGGAGCTCGGACGTCCCTTCAATCAAACAAAGCCACGGATTGTTAAATGACAGCCTTCTCTTTTCACCGCCTTTTGTTCTGTAGCCTCAGGTTTCTTGGCCGTGTGGAGGTTCCATGGTTTTTAAAAATTAAAATCCGGGGCGTTGGCCCCTCAGAGCAGAGGGACGGACGCTCAAGTCTTGCTCTTGTTGGGTTTCTGATCGGAGCCGTGTCTCGAGTTGTTGGAAGGGTTGCGGGGGGGAAACCCAAGTAAATGGGACTGAGTGGATTTCTCTTTCGAAGATCCAACACACGATGGGCCAAACGGCTGCCTTTGTGCACTTAATGCCCGTGAAGAGCAGCCGGCAAAGGCTGTGATGCCACTCGGAGGAGGGAAGACATTCCTTCCTACCTCGGTAGTTCCAGGGGCTGTTGGCCTGGGAGAAGACCCACCTTCAAAGCTTCAAAAAAATAAAGAGGAACAATAAAGTGTTATTGTACTGGTTGTTTACAAGACACCGGTGTTATTGTTGAGCAAGTTTTAATCAATTTTTTAATAATTATCATTTTAAAAAAGATTTCCAGTAGGTTGACCTTGCCAATTGATAAATGATAAAATGATTAGGATAAGGCGTGCTTCTTCAATCGATTGCCACCTCCATGTGCCTGCAAAACCTGGTAAAGGATAAACGTGGTGTATTGCATTGAACCTTAGTTTTCTTTGAAGATGCAATTCAATGAAAGACTTGACCTAGCAAAGGGGAGTGTGTTGCTGCTTGTGTTATTGTTTGTGTTTCCAAAACAAGGAAGCTCAAAAGTTTAAAAATGATTTTTTTTAAAAAAAACGTTCCTAGGTGGCTCAAATGCACCTTGTAATGCTGTCCCAACCTCTACAGAATGGAAGGTCTCAAGTTTAGACACTGCCAGTGCTTGATTTGCTGATTCCAGGTGGGCAACACTGCCAATGATGCAATTACACTCCTGTTCGTTGGGTTGCAGAATGGGAAAAAGCAGCCAAGCTCCTTGCTGATGATCACTGACCCCACCCTTGTCCCTCCGCCTCCCTGTGGGCACCAGCTGAGAGCAGATCAGGCTTGACTGTGGTGGCCACTATTTGTATAACTTGCCGATACTGTACTTATGAGGCTCACACAGGAAAAATGGCCACTTGGGCAAGGAACCTGAAAGCCAATATCACAAGGGAACTATGTTACAGCGTGATTTACCATCTTCAGGAGAGGAGAGATTAGGGATAAAATTGAAGGAATAATTCAATATTGTTTCAGTTCTGTTATTTATCAAAGTGCAATCACTGCTTTTGGAGCACTGCTTGAGGGTGTCACTTGGCTAAGCTTGCCTCTTTAGAAGCAGAAGTTACTGGTAAAAAGTGTTGGGATGAGTTCTTACTGAGATGAATGGAAAGACGGGAGTCCAATCAGTTTCTGAAAAAACGTTAATGTTGCAAGTGTATCCATTTAAGATGAACTACAGTTGAATTTGCATTTTTTTTGTACTTAATTTTTGCACTTTCCCTCAGCCTGCTCGTCCTCCTTGACCTCTCTGCTGCCTTCAAAACCGTTGGCCACTCTATCCTCATCCACCGCCTCTCCTCTCACCTCAACCTTCACGGTTCTGTTTTTGACTGGGTCAAATTGTACCTCTCACATCGCTTCCATTTCATTTCCACAAACGGTTTCTCCTCTAGCCCCTGCAGCATCTCATGCGGCGTCCCTCAGGGCCGTATCCTTGATCCCCTCCTCTTCAATATCTATTTGCTCCCTCTTGGTGAGTAGACCGCCAAAACCCTCATACATGCTTTCATTATATCGAAGCTCAACTATGCAAGCTCACTGCTTGTCGGTCTCCCCAACTCCTCCCTCCACAGGCTGCAGATCATCCAGAGCTAACTCTGCAGTCCGTGTCCTCTCCTGGACTAGGCTCCATGACCCTATCACCCCCATCCTTGCCCAACTCCACTGGCTTCCCATCACACAGAGAACACAGTTCAAGATCCTGGTCCTCACCTTCAAAGCCCTCCACGGTCTGGCTCCTACTTACCTCTGTGACCTACAAACCCCCAACATCCTGTTCACTCCCTCCGCTCAGCGGGCTCCTGCCTGCTTCACGTTCCTCGCCTTGATCGCCCCACTATTGGCAGGCGTGCCTTCCGCCATTCTGCACCCATCCTCTGAAAGTCCATCTTGCAGTCCCTCTGTCTTGCCCCCTCCCTTGCCACCTTCAAGACCCATTTCAAGCCCCTCCTCTTTGACCGTGCTTTCGATCTCCCTGCTTCTCACCCCTCGCCCTCTACCCTCCCCCACCCCTACTCGCAGCTCGGATCCGTAACTCTTGTCTGTCCAGCTGTCCAGCAGCTTGGGACGTCCACCCAACGTGAAAGGCGCTTTACAAATGTAATTTTGTTGTTGGTGACATCATCCGCAGACATGAGGTCAACTTCAACATGTATGCGGATTACACCCAACTCGACCTCTCTGCCTCCACCCTTGACTCCAGGACCACTGCTGTCCTGACAGAATGTCTGTCAGACATCAAGTCCTTGATAAGAGCTAACTTTCTTCAATTGAACGTTAACAAGACTGAGGCTCTCCTGATTGGCTCCCGTCAGCATCTTCACACCTCAGGTACTGACAGCATCACCATCCACGGATGCACACTCCACCTCACTAAGCCAGTCCGGAACCTTGGCGCCTTGTTTGACCCTCAACTATCCTTTCTCCCTCACATCCATGCCATGAACTGCTCTGCCTTCCCCCACCTCTGCAAGTTGCCCGGCTCCGCCCCTGTCTCACACCAAAGGCCGTCTAATCCCTTATATACGCATTCATAACATCCAGGCTTGACTATGCAAACTCCTTGCTTGTCGGCGTCCCCAACTCCTAGGCTACAGATCATCCAGAATTCTGTAGCCCATATTCTCTCCCACACTAGGCTCTGTGACCCTATCACCCCCCATCCTCGCCCAATCCATGGCTTCCCATCACACAGAGGATACAGTTCAAGATCCTGGTCCTCATTTTCAAAGCCCTCCATGGTCTTGCTCCCCCCTACCTCTGCGACCTCCTAATCCCCTACCATCCTGCTCGCTTCCTCCGCTCAGTGGGCTCCGGCCTGCTTCACGTCCCCAGCCTCACCCGCCCCCACCAGAGCGGTCCTTCTGCCACTCTGTCCCTACCCTCTGGAACCCCATCCTTCAAACCCTCCGCCTCGCCCCCTCCCTTGCCTCCTTCAAGACCTATCTCAAGGCCCTCATCTTCGACCGTGCTTTCGATCGCCCTCCTTCCCCCCCCACCCATCACCACCTCCACTCGGGTCCGAAACCCTGCCTTGGGACGGCCTCCCGACGTGAAAGGCGTTATACAAATGTAATTTTGTTGCTGCTGTTTATTTAATTTGGTCAGATTCATGTGGAAAACAATAATGCCATGCTTCAGAGTATCCAAACCAAACTGAGAGTTCCATGTTTACTACCTACAGTGGAAACTTTCCATGTTTGAAATGGAATGTGCATTCTCTCCGAAGGGTCTCGTCCTGCTTACCTAATGTTGGAGAGTATTAGGCATGGTTGGACAAGAGTCGAGGCTTGGGAACATCCTCCACAGCGTGTGTGGGGTACTACTGGAGTCTAACCAGCTAAAACTACACTAGTGGTCTGGCAAGTTTACTTGTCTAGCGAAGACCACCCTACCAGCTAAGGGTTTGGTTTGCAGGGATAACAGGAATGGAGTAGGAAGAATCCCTGCCCCTCCTTTAAGTCCTAGTAACGGTCCAGACTGGCTGGTCTCTCTTGTCATTCGTGCCCTGGAGTACCCTGAACCTGCATTGGCTCAGGAATCAGGACTATCGAGACCACCAGAGGATTGATTTGATTTTGACATTCCATTGCCTGCACGTCATCTTGGAGTCAGCTAACCCCTTCCCTTTCCTCTCCTGGAGGATTTATCCCTCCATTGGCTGAGATTGGGAGCCACAGCCCAGTTACAATCCGCTGTCCTCAGTAATGTTGTACCCCTTTCCAATATTCCTCTATCGCAGACGCAATTCTCTTGTTCCTCCTCCCCATTGTATAGGGTTAGCAGTCGTCTTTGCGATGAGGACATTGAACCAGAGGAGCTGGAAACCGAAGGAGAGAGACAGTTACAAAACCTCCTGAAACACCAGCTGGACACATCAGTATCCCTAGAAGAGTAAGTATATTAATCCATTTAGTTTGAAACCCAATACATAGAATCTTACAGCACAAAAGGAGGCCATTTGGCCCATTGTGCCTGTGTCAGCTCAAAGAGCTACCAACTAGTCCCACTCCCCCTCTCTTACCCCATAACCTTGCAGTTTTTTTTTCAAGTACCTACCCAATTCCCTCAAGTACCTACCCAATTCTCTCAAGTACCTACCCAATTCCCTCAAGTAGCTATCCAATTACACTTTTACAAAGATCTTATTGATTTCAATTGAACACCAAGTTCTAATTTTATCTGATTTATACTGGTTGCACAATTGTTTCTTAACTGAGGAACGAGACGAGCACTGAAATGTAGCTAAATTTTAATGACTAGATTTTTACCAAGTTTGAGATTCTCACTCAGTACCGTCAAGACTGATGTGAACTTCCTTACATCAGTCATGAAGGTGAAACAGGGGCTTTGTCACTGCAGCAAATCCCATCTTTTCTCTGAGAGTGAAGTTACGTAAACCCTACTCTACCAATTTGAAGGCTTCTCTGCATTAATAACAGCACTACAAACATAAAGGTCAACTAGATTATTTACAAAAATGGATATCCTACCTTCTTGATAGATAAATGAACAATATAGATCCTCTATCGACATTAACAACAAATTTGTACAACATCTATCAAGTCAGGAGGATGTCCCAAGGCACTGGACATTTAAAGGTTTGCACCCGAGCTGGGGGTTGGAGTCAAGCCGGGTGGAGGGCAGGGGGTGGGAAGATGACTAAAGGCACGGTCGAAGAGGAAAGTCTTGAGACGGGCCTTGAAGGAGGCAAGATAGGAGGCTAGGCGGAGAGGCTCCGGGATGGAGAACATCTACAAAATTACTTAACTTAATAAACTGTCACCACCATGTATCAATTTACAGTATAAAGTTATGCATTTTCACTTCACGGTATATTCTATGAAGCGCTTTGAGATGTCTTGAATATGTGATAAGATGCTATATCAAATACGAGGATTATTATTATCACTGGCCCTTATGATATACAAAAAACCTTGGTTTCTGTCTCCAGTGAGTCAGTAAATGCTGTTGGATCAGAAAGAAAGCTCAATTTAATCTTAATTTTTCAGATACCCAGCCATCTTTCTGTCATAATCCTTGCTTTTGATATAAGGCCTTATGACTCTGTTGTAATGTCTCAGAGAGCTTTTCAGGATAATAATAATAATTCTTGCATTTTATGTAGTGCCTTATCACGTCTTTGAGGCCTCACACAACGCTTCACAGAATACACTGTAAAGTGAATTGACTGGATATTCTGTGGGCGAAACGCGGGAGCCAGTTGTGCACAACAGCGTCCCACAAACAGTCGTGGATTGAAGTGACCAATTTTTTTTAAGGAATTATTATCCCTGGAAAAGTAATCTGTCAATCGATTAACAACTGGGTTCCGACTTACTGCTCGGTAAACAGAGGCGTGTGGAGTAAGGAAACTTGCCCAACATTTCGCCCTGCCCGGGAATCGAACCCAGGTCTCTCGCTTGCGAGGCAAGTGCTCTAACCACTGAGCTGCCAGGACTCCATAGCTAAAGGTTTTAGTGCCTAGTTAGTACCATTAATGGTTCCTGTATTTTTTCACAGATGCTTGGCCAAGAAGAAATGCTTTGCTCCTGCTGCCTTGTACAAGCCATTTGGCGACCAGGCAGCAGGGGCACTCAGTTTGTCTCAGTTCCAGGCTCTACAGGAAGGCGATGGGGAGATTGCCAGCTTGAGAGAGCTTGGCCTGACAGATCGAGAAATTCAGCTTTGGCAAGATAGGGAATCTCTAGTCAAGGTAAGGTATAATTGGAGGCTTTTGCCAAATGATATGTAAAGGCAGCTAGAGAAAAATCAACCTTTTGGATTGCCCGAACCTGTGGATGAATGTGCTTTGGGGAGAGAAGAAGGAAATAATTTCAGCTCCAGTCATCATAAGAACATAAGAATTGTTAGATGAAAGAAGACCAAGGTTCGCCATCCTGGCAGTTGCATGCACATGTCATGTCCTGTATCCCGAGACATTATTTCCTAACAGAAATCTTATTTAATTTGTTCTTGAAAAAATCATCACTTTTTCCTTCCACCGTCTGCCTATACCTACAATACCCTATATATTGTTTTCAAATATAGAATAAACAGCAAAATATATCAGCTTTGTAGTTCCTCAATGGTCTTTAATTTCCCAGCCTGTTTTTGTAACTTTCAGCAGGTTAGCCCCGAATGCCAAAATATTGAACTAAAACAAACTGAGTTATCCGTTTTAGTTGCGTCTGTGACTTTGTTTTATAGGGAAGGGAGGAAAAGTGTGAGCAAGTCTCGGTTTTGCTTTGGAATTACATTCTAAAATGTCTCCATCATGCAAGCTTTCTCAACTAACCAGTTTCTCTCAGCAGTAATGAATCGGTCATTGGTATATAACGTACAGAAACACTCGCCTTCTCCCTGAGAGTTTTTTAATATAATTTTGAAACGTCTCCCCCATTCTTCTCTTTCGGGTCCGTGTGCCGCAACAGCAGCAGAGGCTGGGTAGACAGGCTGCCAGCTCCCATGCTCCGAAGGTGAGCGACAGTGACCCTGGGATCTACCCACCCTCCCTATTGGAGAGTACTTGGTGTCTGCTCAGCACCCTGCCTGCTGGCAGAGGATCGCAGATGTGAAAGCAGGTGCAGCCCTCCCACATGGCGTGCGCGCTGAATGCTCGTCTCCGCTTTGTTTCCCAAAGTTTTCCGGACTTGGAGCGGATCCCGCGGCCGTGCAGGAACGACTCCGCGCCATCGAGGAGAAGATCGAAGAGCGACAGCGCCTTCGCTCGATGCCGCAGAGGTTTGCGGGGAGTAAACCACTGAACAGGAGGGAGATGGAAATCGAAAAGGCCATGTTCCAGGGAACAGATCGCTACAGCTTTCTGAAAGCGCTGTATTACCAAGGTTTATGTTATCTCCCTCACTGCACTGTTTCCCAGGCAACATAGAAACAGGAGTAGGCCATTCAGCCCCTTGAGCCTATTCCATCATTCAATAAGATCATGGCTGATCTGTCCCTCGGGTCGTTACCCGCCCCTGCCCCGGTTCCTTAATACCCTGATACCTTAATACGTAGTTCTGAGGCGGTGCTTTTTATTAACTGGGAGCTGAGGGCGACCCCCTCCGACAGATCTCAGCTCATTCTTTTTGAAGGAAAGTGAGTCTCCTCAGTGATGCAATGTAAAGGCTTGGGCGCTGAGCAATGTCTCCCCACGAGGTGGCGCAACACATTGGCACGTCAGCACAGAACAACAACAGATTTGCATTTGCATGGCGCCTTTCACGTCAGGACGTCCCAGGTCATGGCTTGTTATCAGTGACTCAGAGCTGAAACCTCCCTCAGTCCAACAGGCAGTCCATTGAATAGTTTATCTTCGATGATTGTAGTTGCAGTTTATTGGCCGTTGGGGTTGTATTTGGGTGTGGTCGCACCCTCTTCCTTCCCTGATGCTCACTATCTGCTTACACCCAGGAATATTTTTCCACACATCTATTTCCACACATTGACAAAGGGCAATGTGTGGAAATAGAATTTTTAGGTGTTGCTCATTTTTTAAACTTGATATATTTTAATGTTGCTACTCAGGAAAAGTTAACCTGCTTCACTTGTGCAGACACACCCGCTCTCCTATTCTGCATGTTGGAAAATGATACATATTAGCCAGAAATTGAGGGTTAATTAAATCTGTTGCCTGCACCTTCTGATTAAATATGGCATAATTGATTGGAGCACATGGGAAATTACATTGATTACAATTTGCTTTTGCATTACAGGTCATAAATTCAGACAGTTTCATGGTACAGGGATTTTTGTTTTCTCATAATTAGATCTGAGTTACACATGTAAAGCTTGGCTGCAGCACTCTTGCCTCCGTGTCAAAGTTGTGGGTTCAAGACACATGGCTTGAGCTCACAGTATAGGCTGCTGCATTAAGTGCTGAAGAGCACTTAATGTAACAGCCTATACTGTCAGATTGAGGTATTAAACTGAGGATGTTAAAGATTTTAACACCTTGTTTGCAAAGCAAAGATGGATTCTCAAAGTGTTTTGGTCAATGATCCTCCAGGTGAATTGGTGATTTGCCTGTTGGATGTTTGCGGGACTTTGCTGTGCACAAATTAGCTGCTGTGTTAACCCTCAAAACCAGTCACTATAATCAATAATTACTGAAAACGCATTGAGTCATTTTGACATAGAAGCTGTAAAAATGCAAGTTCTAAGTATGTATTGCATGAGTAAAGTGTTCCTGTGTTGTGAAAGATGAGCTCAATCCAATTTACAACATTACACTGTGAAATTTCACAAGAGACAATGCGGCACTTAGTCTTTGAGTTCCAGAATCAATCTATTAAATGGCTTTGCTAAAAGATATGTTAGCTGTTTTTAAACTGTATTTTGTAAGAAATTCTGGTCCAATGTGGCATAGATTAGTGCATGGCATCGCCGGATCTGGGTTTCCACTTACCAGGGCATTCCTGATTTCAGGAGGCTGTAGAAATATATTGACTATCACCTCGGTATATCATTGGTATATTTCAAATAGCAACCGAATGTTCAGGGCGGGGGCTATCTCTGTGACAAGGGGAGGTGGAGTTAGAAACACATAAAAGAAAGATGTAACTTTGAAATGGTTGGAGTTGTGAAGATAGTCAGCGCACTTCCCAGTGGAATCGATATCGATATATATATAAATAATATGTGTACAGGGTTGAGGGAATTTACCTCTAGTAAGAAAGTGACCATTAAAAGTGAAAGAGAAGTGATAGAAAGTAATATGATATTGATTCTGCCTGTTGCCTAGTATATCTGTATAAGGGATAGAGTGTAACTGATTTGTCTGTTCAAACATTAATAATAAATAATAATAATTCTTGCATTTGATATAGCACTTTTCATGTTTTCTAGACTTTATGTTTTCTAAAGCACTTTACAGAATATACTGTAAATTGAATTGACCAGATATTTGTGGGTGAAATATGGCAGCCAATTGCGCACAGCAGTGTCCCACAAACAGTCGTGGATTGAAGTGACCCAATTTATTATTGTTTTTTTTCTTGAGGGATTATTATCAGGTGTGGAGTAAGGAAACTTGCCTAAGGTTTCGCGCTGCCGGGAATCGAACGAGTGCTCTAACCACTGAGCTACAGGACTCCACCTTAATAAAACCTATATTTGAAAGTAATGTGGTGTCATGTAAAATTATCTACAAGGTAAGGGAGGGAGAGGGAGGAGATTCTGATGGGATTTTCCTTGAACAGTAATGACAGAGGTTCACAGAATATACTGCAAAGTGAATTTGTAACCTGTTTGTGTGCAGATGTGACTTCTGCTGTTTCCACTTCAGATGAGAAGTGTATAAGAGACCAGAGTGATCCTATCAAACAGCTGGAAATGATTTGTGACCATTTGTTACCAAAATCTGAGAGCAATCCCAGCGAAACGGGAGATCCTTCAAAGATCAGGCCACGGTCTTCAATGGAAATCCCTTCCACAGCGACCAGCGAAGTTGGCCCGCACAGAGGTGTGACGGGTCCATATACACAATCGTACTGTGACGTCAGTCCTGCTGACCAGTGGGGAAATCAGCGACAAGAGGCCAAAGTGGAGAGCAACAGGAGGTTCTCTGTCAAAGTGCCCATCAGAACCCTCCCCAGTGCTGGGCCTCACAGCCCTCAGAGAGTGACTCAGCAAGTGGAATCTGTTCCCGAAGAAGAGATCAGGAGGAATAAACTTTCCGAGGAGGAAATCCGAATGATTCCCAGATTTTCAAGCTATAATCCAGGGCAACCAAGCCGGGTATGTGATTATTTTGTTGATTAATTAATTCACGGGGGATTATTGATGAATAAATGTCTTTTTTTAAAAACAAGTTCCAGTGTGGCTATGATGAAGTTTCCCAATTCCACCGCCACGAATGGCACAGTGAGTAAAGATATTACCATTAGGTTATCTGGACTGGAGCCGTATGTACGAATCCCCAGTCCTGTGCTTATCTTGAGTCATGAGCTATATTTCATCTCAGCACCTCTGAGCCAAGGAGTCAAAACCATCCTTTGGATGAAATCTTAAACCAAGCTCCATCTGCATGTGCAGGTGACGTTAAATATCCCATGGCGCTATTCGAAAAGAGAAGGGACTTTCTCCCAGTGACCTGGCCAACAATCTCCCAATTAAAATTGATCACTCACTTTGTGGCTGTTTGTGGGACATTATTTTATGCAAATTGCCTGACGTATTCACCCACAAAACACAGTCACTGCACTTTACAGTATATCCTGTGAACGTCCTCCCAGCCGAAAGGCTCTATATCAAATGTAAGGATTATAATAATAATAATCCTTGCATTTTGATATAGCACCTATTATACAACAGCTGTTCGTGTGGCCTCTCTAATGAAGCAACCTATAATGGAATTGGAATTGAGACCAGTTTTGTGGTTTGAGATGGTGTTCGCTGTGTAGAGCTTGAGGTTCTCCAAACCCCTTCATGTAGATATTGGTTGTATCGGAGGAACTTGGTTCTTTTGCAGGAGTGGGACTGTGATTGTACCTTTCATTAATGTGTGACTGAAGGTTGCAATTATCCTCTTTTAATTCCATCTCTTTTTTGTCTAATTTTCCACCCCCTTCCAGGTCCTGTACTTGAAAAACCTGAATCCCAAAGCTACGCTAGAGGACCTTTTCTCCTTGTTTGTTTCGTTTCAGGAGAGGGATGGGCCTCAGCTTCATTTCAGGTTACTGACAGGTCGAATGAAGGGACAAGCATTCATCACCTTCCCAAGTATGTATCTCCAAACCACAGGGAAGCCAGTCCCAAGCAATGCTTAACTAATAAATAACCCAGTGAACCAAGTAGAAAGGTTTTAAGATGTAAATATTTACCACAATATTTTTGTCTCTATTTCTATACTTAAAAATAATTGGTCACTCAATCCACGACTGTTTGTGGGACACTGCTGTGCACAATTCGCTGTCACGTTTCGCCCACAAATACACAATCAATACACTTTACCATATATCCTGTGAAGTGCTTTGAGATGTCTCAACGACTTGATGAAGCACTATGTCAAATGTAAGGATTATTATTTTATTATTATTACACATTTAAGCAGTGTCCTATAATTGTGGCTTGTTGGGCAAATCCAGGTCACAGCCAGTTTGATACAGAGGAACCCTGTTACCTTCTGTGTTCAATAGCTCAGGTGATTTTTAACGACATCAGTAAAAGCTTAAGCATGTGCTTATGCCCACATACAAAGTGACTGAATTAGCGACCTGATTACTTGGAAGTTAGCTAGTTGATCGTTTGGACCCAGAAGATAAGTGATAAGTGATAAGATAAGATAATACATTTTCACTGTACTGTACTGATCTAACTGACTTGGATTCGCCACCAAACTCCAAAGTGCAGGAAGCTGGGTGTGCCTCATGACTTTAGTACAGGAAGCCTCCACGTATGTTATGGGTCCGCAGTAGACTAGAGCTATAAGTGAGGCAGTGCTCATCCTGGGTGTGTTGTAACGTGGTTCCGCTTTATTGTAGTTCCATAGTTTCAGAGACATGATAAGGCGCTATATCAAATGCAAGGATTATTATTTTGCAAGGTTCATTATTTAGTTAGTTGAATTACAATACTTCAATACTCAATTGTACAAATTCAACTTAGTTTGCCTTTCATTTTCTTCTTAGGTGTTGAGATGGCAACAGAAGCACTGACTCTGGTGAATGGCTACAACCTCATGGGCAAGCCGATAATTATAGAGTACGGACAACATGGATGTGACCAGTGATTTGGTTGTTCCGAAATGATGGCTGAAAGGAATTTCAGTGCAATGGCCTTTTCAGTCACTGGAGCCATAGGCACACTGCAAGACTGAAACGTGGCCGACACTAATCTGTCTACAAGGGACAGAATTTCAGATCTGTTGGTCCATTTGCTCACCTGAAGTTTCATTGCCATAAAATCATCAGAAACAACCATCTGTATATAACTCACACCTTCACTGGTTTCAAAAAAAGCAAATGAGCAAGTCAATGTTCACCCGAAACCTCCAAGTCACCCTGAGGCATTCAGACAAGGAGGTGCAGATTTTATCCTTGGCCTGTGCTGAATTGGCTTGTCTCAGAAGGCACGATTAGTGTCCCTGGGCTAGGGAAACAAAAATAGTAGCCAAGTTTTGTACACCTAGTTGTCAAGCGAAGTCAAGATTGAGGTCAACTGAGTGTTCTCTCTTTACCATAACTCCTTTTCTGGTGATTAAATATCAATCTTGCTCCTATGGTCTACGTGGAGAATACAACTGGAGTGCCAGCTAGGTCTTTGGGTACAGACCTTGTCCTGAACCACCAAAAGCAAGATCTTGGGGTTGGGAAAAAGTATGCCCTTGGCTCACTTTGACACTTATTCACCTACATAATGAGATCATTTCTGCATCCTCTGAATGCTTTGTGCTTTTTGTGATCTTGTTCGCGCAGACCAACTCGCGTTGAGGGAATGTTTCAACCTTTACTTTGCCGTAAAACTCCCAAAATCAGCACTTCACACTATGACAGATGTCCAGCGAAATTTAAAAAGAAACCAATGTAGATGAGCTATTTGGCCACACAGTAAAGAAGTGTGAAAAGCAGAAGAGGATGGGATGCACCATGGAGTGAAAAAAGGCCCTGGAGCACTTAGAATAAGAAAGAGAAACCAGAGTTTCCGAGCCTCACCCTCCACACGGAGCGTGTCTTTACTTACTGTGTTTGTTTAAATTAAAAAGAATTATTCACGTGTGAGGGTTAACTTGTTCGATCTCTTGTAACTACAGAGCACCTCTGTTAGTTTTGTCAGCTTGTACCTGTTATAGGTCTGAGTACCAAAAACACCCAGTCACATGTTGAGAATAGAATTCCTGCCCCCATCAAACATACAGTGAGTTGCAGCTTGTGATTTTGTCGATTTGTGCTATTTAATCTTATTTGGATGGGTACATTTTGCAGCAAGCCAGGAATCCTTTCCTGGTTAATTGCAGTGCATTTGAGTACTGCCTAAGAGCACTCCCCTGCAGTAACGCTTCCGTTCACAAATGATCGTTTCCTGCGCAGGGAAATATTCTGGTTCATTGGGCAGATGCAGATCGGGATAGAGTGTTGGCTTGTGATTTTCATTATACACTCTTATCCTCAGCAGTGATTTAGGTGCAAGTTTCCAAAGATAAGTCATTTAATTGTCCACTCGTGTGGTTCAAGAATCGCCTTTGGATGCAAGTAGTTGTGTGAAAAGTAAAAATAAGGAACAGTTTAAAAATTCCTCCATGACCAGGAATTATATTTAATTTTTTAAAATATATATGCAGTCATTAATGCCAGAGCTCAGTGTTAATGGTTTTATGTTTTTTTTACATTGTATCTTTTCTGTGAGCAAAAGGTTTGTTGTGACAACTCATTTGTGATGACTATCCACGTAACAGCAACGCAACTGAGCAGAATAATTTCAATTGGAAAATTGACCTAGGACTAGGATGTCCTCCACACATAATATTCCCCTTGTCCCTACAATGCTGGAGTCATAGTGCCCAATATATATAATATTATATACATAATATAATTAGTATTATAATTCATAATTATAATATAAATTATATTACATAGTATAATCATACCTATGACTAATTGTAGTTCTACCCTTTTTTACATAATCATCCATCTTTTAAAAATTAGTTAATCTACATTCCACTATGGGGTGTACTAATCGGGAAGAATGGAAATTTAACCATTCCATCCCCTCCTGCACTATAATCTTATTTTATATGAGGCGATAGAAATTTTAGTGGAAGGCAACCAGTTTAGATCACCCTGGTAATTGATGACTCAATGGAATTGTATTGGGTATCGCTAAGTCAATCTTTATTGTCTACTTCAATCCTACTTTAGCAATATGCCTTTACAAATCTACAAAGACCAAAGTTTCACTCAATGGAGCAATGTGGAGAGAACAGAAGCCTGAGCAGTACTTTTATAGCCACCATTGGCTCTTACAGCTCTCATGGTATCTATACATGCAAGCATGGATCCATGCATGCTTGTAAGTACATCTTGGCTTTGTGTAGCATTTACACTGGCCATCAAGTACTACAAAAAAAACTCCCTTCGGCCCTTAAAATGCAGATTACAATTTAGGTTTGTATAGGATTGTGTTTCCTGGATCAGTACATTATAATCTTGACACGTTTTACCTGGACTTGATTACAGAATATCAGGCACCAGTTTGGTGCAGTACAATATGCTTTAAATATTAAAAGCAATAGTGGGTCATTGGATAGTCATTCAAAAATGAAAATATTTGTGATAACAGCAAATATCCAAAATGCAACACTTGCTTTCAAGACAGAAGTTTTATGATTTAAAGGGTGAAAGTATTTTAAATTGACAAGCTGTGCAAAGCTCATAAACTCCTTTCATATTTATGCACTAATTGAGTTGCAACTTTTGTTAAAATACAAATGTAGAAAATAAATGCAACCATTTTACTATTGATGTTGAATTTATAAAATTGTGTAATGAAATGTTAACTGACTTGTGCATGTTTTTAGAATCCAATTTGTGCATGACTTTATCAGTATTTGTGAGATTTTGATTAACCTGCCATGATCCTGTCCTGGGAAAACCAAACTAGCCCTGGGGACTTCTAATTTATATTGACTCATTCGTAAGCAGGTTCAGAATACAAACCTGAGGACCAAAGTTTGAGAAACAGCTGCTTTTACCTGTTTGGATCCTGTCATTGCTGGATAACACATTTGACTATTCCCCAGACCAGTTTGTTAGTTTGCTCATGTTCCCTCATACTAAAATAGTGTGATCAATAATAATACTTGCATTTGATACAGAGTCTTATATCAATGAGACATCTCAAAGCCCACAAAATATACAGTCAATTCACATAACAGTATATTTTGTGAAGCGCTTTGAGATGTCTTGAAGACGTCATAAGGCACTACATCAAATGCAAGGATTATTAAAGCGCTTCACAGAATATACTGTAAAGTGAATTGACTATATCTGTGGGCGATAAGTGGCAGCCATCAGTGTCCCACACGAAATCATGGATTGAGTGACCAAATTATTATTATTGGAGCCTCAATATCTTCATGTGTGTTGCCCCAAATAAGAGGCAAGACGATTTTAATAATAATTTCTAATCGGACTTAGGATCCTGCAGTTTTGTTATTAAAAAAGTCAAACATTACGAAGAGTTGTATAAGTTATACAATTTACAACGGTGATGTTCACAGGTCATGTCTCTGGGTATAAGTAAACAACATAAAATTATATTATATAATATAATTATGATTTCCTCATGAGGATCTAATCTTATCAGAAAGATCAGTCCTGGTCATTTCTCAGAGCAGTGGAAGCCTCTATTACTAAACAATACTGTCCATTGCAGAGATCAGGTTAGGGATGGAGTTGCAAAGCAGTGTGGACAAATGCCTGGGCTACATCAGCTGGTTAAAGTCTGGGATTACGTGCATGCTTGAGGAAAGTCAGCAGATCAGAGGTCATACACGAGAAATAGATTTGTAACTCATTTTATGGAGACTTGTGTTCAGTGATAATTACTGGCTGCTGCAGTAGGTTTCAAATCTGCTAGTTGAGATGAAACTAGGGTTCAAACAGTATCCTGGATAATTGCTTCCAAAAAAGAGGACAGGCACAAACAACCCTTAACTGTAAATCCTGCAAAGCGCTTTGAGACGTTCTCCTGACATTTGTTATACCAAAGTGATAAAGAGGTATAACAAATGCAAGGATTATTATATATTATAATGTAATTGGGAAAGTCACGAGATCTGAACAACTTCAAAAAACACTGAGAATCACCAATGAGACCTTTTTTTCCATCTATGATGTACATGTTACAGTTAAGCAGCAAGTCTGGGTGATAACGAACAGAGACAGATGTAACTAAGATGGCACACAAGTAACTAAATTACTGTCAATCGTGACTGTCAAGGCAGTCATTTTTAACAGTTAATTCTGCTTCCCTTGTACTGTCCAGACACAGTGTTAAAGTAAGACAGGACAAGTTGTCTGGTTCTTCTGAAAACTGATTTGCAAAAGGGACCTGAACAATAAACTAGCTAAACCCAAAGGGAACTGAAGTCTTGCCTAAAAGAGCAAAGTAAGGCAGAACAGGGGCAGCATTCATCTTTTTACAAAGAATGTACAGCACGGGAACAGGCCAATCGGCACAACCAGCCAATGTCGGCCGGTAATGTAGGCTTGGCATCTAGCAACTAGCCTTAGATTAATAGTAACTGATTTGTTATTGATTGTGTGTATGTAACTGTATGTAATTTTTGTACATTCATTCTTAGTTCTGTATGGTCTTTTGGAATCTTTACAGTATTGAATTAAACATTTTATTAATTGAAAATGAACTCTCCTTCAACATATGACAGTTGTCTTTTTTTTGGGGGGGGGAGAGGGATTGTAATAAACAGTAGTGATAATTTCAAGCCTGTGTTCCATTATGTATATTTAGAGGTAAGTGCTTGATGATTTTTAAGAAGTTCTCTTTATGTGAAAAGTGCTATAGAAATGTAAGTTGTATTACCGCCATCTATAAAATCCACACAACTTTTAGACTATCCTGAATCCACCGATCCTTAGTTGGGAGAGGTAACATAGCTCTTTCTGTTTCATTGGTGACCACAGCAATTTGCTCTACATGTAAAAGCTACATAACATTGATTCTGAGTTTTGATGTTTTCTCCTGTGGTCACACATTTAAATCTGATGCGTACTTGACAATCGACCTGTTTTAACATTTGTATATTGCAGTTGGGCCACAGTGAAACTATAAGGTAAACTCTGGCTCAGCACCAACTTGCATCTGTATAGCACCATTCACACCTGTTGGCATCCCCGAGCGCTCCAGGGAAACACACATGATCCTTTTGTCTGTAGTGGCTGATTGCGCAACCTCCAATGGTGGAGCGGAGGGTGGAAAGTTCAGCAAAAGTAAAATCTAATGTTGAAACCTGACATAACACTGAAAGACCCAATACTGACAACAAGGAACGTAATTGACTAAGGAAATTGGGATTAAAATAAAACAAAAAAAGGCTTATGATAAATGTCAGGTCCAAAATACAGAAGATAATCAAATAGAATATAGAAAGTACAGAGGAGAACTGAAAAAGGAAATAAGAGGGGCAAAGAGATTGTATGAGAAAAGATTAACATAAAAGGGGACCTTATTGTATTTAATATGCAAATAAAGAATAAAAGTCAAAGGTAGGGTGGGTCCAATTAGGGACCAAAGAGAAAATCTTGTGGAGGCAGAGGGCACGGCTGACGTCCTTAATGAGTAGTTTGCATTTGTCTTCACAAAAGAAGAGGATACAGCCAATTCCACAGTATTGGAGGAGAGAGTAGAGAAATTGCATAGGATAAGAGTAAACCGAGAGAAGGTAATAAAAAGGTTGTCGGTGCTCAAGGTAAATAAGTCACCCGGTCCGGACGGGATGCATCTGAGGTTACTGAGGGAAGTAAGGGTGTAAATAACAGAAATTCTGGCCACAATCTTTCAATCCTCCTTGGACACCAGAGTGGTGCCAGAGGACTAGAGTGTTGTAAATGTTACTCCCCTGTACAAAAAGGGGCAGAAGGATAAACCCGGGAACTATAGGCCAGTCAGTCTAACATCAGTATTGGAGAAACTTCTAGAGACTATAATCAGGGACAAAATTAATTTTCACTTAGAAAAATATGGGTTATTAAAGGTTAGCCAACTTATTAAAGGTTAGTTAAAGGCAAATCATATCTAACAAACCTGATAAGAGTTTTTTGATGAAGTAACGGAGAGGGTGGATGAAAGTAGTGCAGTTGATGGATTTTCAAAAGGCGTTTGAGGGAAGTGTGCAGTGATGACCCCCAGGGGGTCAGTATTGGGACCACTGCTGTTTTTGATCTATATAACTGACCTGGACTTGGGTATTAGGGAGGACAATTTTGAAGTTTGTAGATGATACTATGCTAGGAACAGTGAGGAGGATAGTAGCAGCCTGCAAGAGGTCATAGACAGACTGGTAAAATGGGCAGACAGGTGGCAGATGAAGTTCAATGTGGAGAAATGCAAAGTGGTGCATTTGGGAGGAAGAATGAGGAGAGGCAATATAAGCTGATGGTACAATCTTAAAGGGGGTGAAGGGACAGAGAGACCTGGGGGTCATATAGTAAATCTTTGAAGGTGGTAGGACGGGTAGGTGTTAAAAAAGCATATGGGATACTAGGCTTTATAAATAGGGACATGGAATACAAAAATAAGGAAGTTATGATGAACCTTTATATAAAACACTGGTTAGGCCTCAAATAGAGACTGTGTTCAGTTCTGGGGACCACACTTTAGGAAGGATGTTGGTATTGGAGGGGGCGCAAAGGAGATTGACCAGGATGGTACCAGGAATGAGGGACTTCAGCTATCAGGAGAGGCGAGAGAAGCGAGGATTATTCTCCTTGGAGCAGAGAAGGTTAAGAGGAGACTTAATAGATGTTTTCAAAATGATGAGAGGATTTCATAGAGTGAACAAGGAGAAACTATTTCCACTGGCGGGAGGGTCGCTAATTAGAGGACACCAATTTAAAATAGTTGTTAAAAGAAACAAAGGAGAGGTGAGAAGAAATTTTTTCACACAGCGAATTGTTCGGATCTGGAATGCATTGCCTGAAAGGCTGGTGGAAGCCGATTCGATAACAACTTTTAAGATAGAAGTAGATAAATATTTTGGGAGGACAAGTTTGCAGCGCTGTGAGGAGTGGGGAATGGGAATTATTTGGATAGCTCTTTTCAAAGAGCCAGCACAGACACGATAGACTAAATAGCCTCCTTCTGGTGCTGTATAATTCTATGATTCTATGAAGTTCTGCGTTGCTTGAAACATAATCTGATTTTAAGTCACCAGATTTTGACAATCTTCGATGATTCACTGTGGCTCCACACACATCCAGAAGACTCCAGGTGAAGCACTGAACAGCGGTTAGATTTATTTGCCCGTTCTGATGAATATTAAAGAATTCTTGGCACTATTTCTAAGAGAACAAAGTCCTTTAGGTATCCTGTCAATGTTCCTCCTGCATACAAAATCGTCAATAAAGATTATTGGTCATTGATCTCACCGTGGCAGGCACAAATTAACTGTTTTCTTTCATAGGTCACATACTGTACGTCAAATTAATTCCACTGTCTGAATCACTTTGCGGCGTTAAATGTAATAAGTTGCTAGATCGCAAAACAGATGACTTATTATTGATACAGTACATGTATTTTGTGCTATGCTACCCTCATAATGAGTGTTACAAGTTGCTGTTGTTCTTGTAGTTTATTTCTGTTTTGCGCAATTAACTATTTCAAACCTGACTCATCGTTAAAGGAATCCACGGTTTTGCTGCTGTGTTGGTATATTAGGTTTTGTAAACAATCCACAGTTCTCTTACGTATCTTCATGCAAGTTTTAGAACAGCATTGCCAGGTGCTCGGGAACACAATATCCACCTTCCCGCCATCTGGGCTGCACTTCAATACAGGTAGCACTTTGTACATAATTCGCTATTCGTTGCATTTTCTATTTTTTTTAAAAGAAAGTTATTTGACACCATCAAGAACTTATTGAAAGTTAAAAACATGCAAGGAGGTTGAGGTGACTGCAATTGCATATGTATAGATGGCAATAATCCCACGCCAAACACTACTTATATGTGATTTGTGGAGTCCTGTAGCTCAGTGGTTAGAGCACTCGCTTTGCAAGCGAGAGACCTGAGTTCAATCCCAGGCAGAGGGTGAAACCTTGGGCAAGTTTCCTTACTCCACATAGAGCCTAATAATAATCCCTCCAAAACCAAAACTGTTTGTGGGACACTGCTGTGTGCAAATTGGCTGCCTTGTTTTGCACACAAAATATATTGACTATATAAAATATAAATCTACTTTACAGTATATCTTGTGAAGCTCTTTGAGACATCTCATCAAAGTCAAAGTCCTATACCAAATGTAAGAATTATTTATTATAGCAGTAGTACTTGAAAATATCGTGACCTTATCACGTCTTTGAGACATCTCAAAGCTCTTCAGGGGATATACTGTAAAGTGACTATATTCTGTAAATTAAATATTATTTAAACTGAATTCAAAGAACTCATCAGTTTAGCAGTTTGGAGATTAATTTCTGCCTCCTTAAGACGTGGAAGTGAAGATCACTCAATTCCAACAATTCCCAATGTTTCTGTATGAACTGACGCCATGCCAGTTGTATGGCATGTCTTGGTCACCCCCGTTTTACCCTCACCTTCTGTTAAAAGTATTATTTGTTTTGTATGCTTTGGGAACTTCTGCCGTCGCAAAGCCCGGTTGATAGCGCGATGCCTGCATTCGGGAAAGTCCAGAAAACGTGCCGCTGGTTCGAAAGAAACTTGGAAGAAAAGTAGACGTTTAAGCGCATTTCCTTCAAATATCTTCATAGATATTATTTTATTTAAGGAACTTTTTGATGGTCCAATCAAAATCATCCTTTAAGTGACCCAAAATGGAAACAGTGCACCTTCCTATCCACTTATGCAAATTATAGATAGTCAGTTACAGTGCCAAACTGTTGCAATCGCCAAATTGTTGCAATGGCCGATGCTGGAGTCAGACTCGATGGCACCATAGGATCGAAAACAACTTTATTAAAACATTTATTTAAAGGGCTACTCAATATATTTGTAACGCGCGTGTGTCAGCTCTACTGAACTTGGGTACCTACCGAGTTTCCCCCGAGCGCAATCACGAGCCACGAGCCGCGCTCAGACCGGCTGATGGTTTTTAGATCGCGCGTAAACTTTAACAGAACAGATTTTAAAGAACGGACGGGCAGAGAAAACAAAGGGGTGACCGGACAGCACTGCCGGGTGTACAAAAGGGAACTGTCGCACTGTGCGCAAATTGGTTGCCTTATTTCACCCTCAAAATATAAACTCGGTTCACTTTACAGTATATCCTGTGAAGCACTTTGAGACGACTCGTAAAGCCCCGTACAAAATGCAAGGATTATATATTACAGTAGTAACCGCGGCGCCTTCTCGCATCTTTGAGACGTCCCAAAGCGCTTGACAGGACAATACGCCGCAAAGTGAATTGGTAATAATGACTGAGTTGACTGTATTCTGTATGTGACATGTTATTGTGGAGTCCTGTAGCTCAGTGGTTAGAGCACTCGCTTTGCAAGTGAGAGACCTGAGTTCAATTCCAGGCAGAGGGCGAAACCTTGGGCAAGTTTCCTTACTCCACACAGAGCCTAATAATAATCCCTCCAAAACCAAAAACAATAATAAATTGGTCATTTTCAATCTACGACTGTTTGTGGGACATTGCTGTGCGCAATTGGCTGCCGCGTTCGCCCACAAATATACAGTCAATTCACTTTACAGTGTGTTCTGTGAAGCGCTTTGGGACGTCCTCCCGACGTGAAAAGCGCTATATCAAATGCGAGGATTATTATTATTATTATTCACAGCTGAACCCAGAGAAGCCATCAGTTGGGCAGATTACAGGTTAATCTCTTCCTCCTCAAGAACGTGCAAAGTCAAGAGCACTCGAGGCCCAACGGCTGCCCACGTCTCTGTACGGCTGAGCCCGCGCCAACCATCGAGCCGCCATGCTGTACGTCACCTCCGCCCGCCCCCCCCGTCATTCAGGCGTGACATCGCCGGCGTACGGCATTTCACACTCCCGTCACGCGCCATTGTATTGTACGGCACAATCGATTCCTTCCCTCCCATTGGACGGGGCCACGTTGTACGGCAACGACATTTCCCCACCCGCCCTCCTTCCCCCTCCCCTCGACACACACACACACACACACCGCACCACACGGTAAGTTCACGCAGAGAGCCGCTCGCCGCTGGAGGCGGGATTCCGCTGCGGGTGACGCGCGCCCTCACCTGGGAAACGGAGAACTCTTGAATCCAACATGGCGAGGCTGAGCGACAATGGGATTCGGTTGAGTGCGGTGAGTACGTTTGTTTTTTTTAAAAAACACACAGACACACACACCCGCACAAACAAACACACTGACAAACGGGCGCAGGGAGGGTCCGAGGCGGGTTCGTGCCGATCGGCGTCTTTAAAACGACGATGTTGACACGGACGCGGTGCTGATTGTTTTGTGTCCCCTTTTCCCTCAGTTGAGCCCCACCTACTTGGACACCAACTCGACCAGTCACACCTGGCCCTTCAGCGCTGTCGCCGAGCTCGTAGGTAAGCGGTGTGACAGCGCCGAGTGTCCGCTGTATCGCGCGCTCTGTGTGTGTGTGTGTGGCTGACTGGCGCCCTGCGGGGAGGGGAGAGGGACGGGGGGTCGGGGCCCGTCCGCTGTTGCTTCACTTTTATTGAATTAGGTTCAAAGTTTTTTTTAAACGGCGAACGCCATGAGGGATGCGCGGTGTGGGGAGGGGGGGGCGGGTTAGAGAGGTGGTTACGAATGTGATGGACGGCCTCGGCGGCCGTTGGCAGCGGGGGCTGCCGCGCGGGCTCTGAGGGACAGCTCGCGGCCCAATGAGGGAGCGACCCGTGGGGCCTCGCGGAGGTGCCATTGGTCCACGTGAATTGATGGGCGTGGCTCGCGGCCAATGGGATCTGAGGGGGCGGGCGGCCACCAACAACGGCGGAAGCCACCGGGGAGCAGAGGAGGGAGAGACCCGGGGGGCGCGGCGCCGGTTGGGAGAGATACAGGAAGCGGGCGGTTGGCGCGTGTTACGGCCTCTCGCGCCCCCCCGAGTGCGTGTGTCGGGGGCTGCGGCCCCGCGCTTCAGCGCGACCCGCCCTCGGCCAATCACAGGGCGGGGGGCGGGATCACAACAATCGCCTCGTGACACCGAGGCCCCTCAGCCTGGACACCATCATCATCATCATCATCATCACCACCATCATCACCACCATCATCATCATCACCACCATCATCATCATCATCACCGCCATCATCATCACCGCCATCATCATCACCACCACCATCATCATCACCACCACCATCATCATCACCACCACCATCATCATCACCATCATCATCATCACCATCATCATCATCACCACCATCGTCATCACCACCACCGTCATCATCATCACCATCATCATCACCACCATCATCACCACCATCATCACCATCATCACCACCATCATTATCATCATCATCACCACCATCATCATCACCACCATCATCATCATCACCACCATCATCATCACCACTATCATCATCACCACCATCATCATCATCACCACCATCATCATCATCACCACCACCACCATCGTCATCACCAGCACCACCATCATCATCACCACCATCATCTCCATCACCACCACCATCATCTCCATCACCACCATCATCATCACCACCATCATTATCATCATCACCACCATCATCATTATCACCATCACCACCACCATCATCACCACCACTATCATCATCACCACCATCATCATCACCACCATCATCATCACCACCATCATCATCATCACCACCATCATCATCACCACCATCATCATCATCACCACCATCATCACCAACATCATCACCACCACCACCATCATCACTACCATCATTACCATCACCACCATCATCATCATCACCACCATCATCACCACCACCACCATCATCACCACCATCATCGTCACCATTATCATCATCACCACTACCACCATTATCATCATTACAATCATCGTCACCACCACCACCATCATCATCATCATCATCACCACTATCATCATTACCACCATCATCATCACCACCACCATCACATTGCTTCCGTCTTCCAGACGTCTCAAAGTGCTTCACGGGATATACTGTCGTGTGTGTATTATCTACATATAAAGCATTCTCAGTCTTCTGGGCTTTGAGACATCTCAAAGACGTGGTAAGGCGACATATCAAATGCAAGGATTATCGTCGCTGTTTTTGAGCTTGAGCATCAACCGGGAACGTTTCTTATACTGAGCCCTGATTTGGAAGCCCCATTTGAGTGCTCATTCCCACAACCAGGATCATCACGGGATGATCCGGCAGAGTCGCCGGAGGGTGAATAGTAATAGCTTATTTCCAAGTTGGCTTTGGCTTGTGAGACTAAGCAGGAAGACGTCAACACACGCGCACCCACACACGCGCACACAGTTCTGGGCCAGGCTCCCCAATTACGTAGAAACAACTTTGGTTGAACCTAGAACAAATATGCAACAAATAATGTGAATCGACTGCACTCAACAATAACCCTTTCAAATCTGAGCTTTCAGTCATGAACACTTAACATCTCTGAACGTATTGACTCAATCCTTGTCGCACTTCAGTGTTCACTTCAATTTAAACCCTGTACAAACACATTGCATGCTTCCTGTAATCCCTGTAACATGTCAGTGCTTGTTCATTCTTATTGGCTTGTCATATCTCCCTGTTAACACTCCCTCATGTGACTGTTTTTCTAGAAGTAATATCCTCCTGTTAATGTGATTTGTCTATGTGTAAATGCTGTCCCTGGACTCTTTCCTAAGTGCTATGCAATGATGGGAATGAGATCAGTTGAATTTGTGAAATTAGTTATTTTACTATTGGTTATCCAGTCATCCTGTGAAGAAGGTATTGAAAAGAATATAGGAATAGCTAGATGAAAGACCACCAAGGGCCATCCAGTTTGCCTTCCAGCATGCTGGCATGTCATGTCCCAAACTCTATACTGTATCCTGCGATATTTTCTAAAAGGAATCGGATCTAATTTGCTTTTGAAAGAATCGAGACTTTCTGCTTCCACCGTCTCCCTAGGGAGCTGTTCTAAACATGTATTACTCGCTCACTGAAATAGTGTTTTGCAGATTTGTTTTAAATTTACCACCTTTCAATTGCAGACAATATCCTCTGGTTCTACTGTTCTCAACAAGATAAAACAACTAAGGTTGATTTGTTTTGTAGATAGAGTATACAAAGCAAGGTTTTAATCATTGATGTAGGGCTTGTAACCTGGCAGTAAAGTGAATTTATTTTTCTTTGAATCTCCTATTGCTAAGAGTACATATGTAAGGGAAGGGATGATCTGCCCTCAGTTCAGCTCAACAACGCTCTTTCTAACTAAAAAGATAGAATCTGACCTACAATTGCTGTGTGTGTTGCAATGGTGGGTGTTGTGGCCGAATTTGCAATTGTGATGCTTGTTTTGTGGAGAGTCATAGACATATTTTTTCGGGATCTCCTATCGTTGATGAGTGTATTAAAAATATATTAAAAAATATTTAATTAAGCCCCAAAAAGTATGCATGGTAATCTGCAGCAAAGTAACAGGTCACAAGCCCTACTAGAGAGATACATCTATGCTAATAAAAATGAAATGTCTTTACTATACTATCTCTATAATGGCTATACTATCAGCAAACATACAGCCTCCAGGAGCCCTGTAGAGTATTGGTTAGAGCATTTGCCTTGCAAGCCCTAGGACCTGGGTTCGATTCTCTTGGCACCTCTGTTTACCAAGCAGTAAGTAGCGATTGGCGGATCTTTAGTTGATCGTTGATTGTTAGTTGATTGGTGGATCACATTGCTGGGGCTAATAATCCCTTTTTAAAGAAAGTGCCTAATTGATCACTCAATTCATAACTGTTTGTGGGACACTACCGTGTGCAATTCACTACTGCATTTTACCCACAAAATATACGGTCAGTTCACTGATGCCCTTTGAGACGTCTCGAAGATGTGATAAGGTGCTATATCAAATGCAATGTTTATTATTATATGGGTGGGTTTCCAATTAAAGGTAAAATATCATCTTTATCAGTGTGGTTGCTCAGTTTTGTATCCTAATTACACAGGTACAATACAAGCTTGAGGTTATCTCGATTATCAACTAACATTGCAGACTCTTATAGGAAAACATAATCCTATGAGATTCCTTTGAATTATTTGTTTAGATAGAACCTTGGGAAGTAATATATTTAGAATGTAAAAGGCAAAGTGCTCCTTTGAAGGAATACAATAGCAGAACATAAAATCATAGAATTATACAGCACAAAAGTAGACCAATTGGCACATTGTGTCTGTGCCAGCTCTTTGAAAGAGTTGTCCAAATTAATCCCACTCCCCCTGCTCTCCACATAGTCTTGCAAATTTGTCCTCCCTAACATGATGGACTGAGTTCCGGTGGTGCACTAATATAAAATGCTAATTGCCAGAGATCAGTAGTGAATTGGGCCCAGTTTATTCAAGCAATAAAGTTTTTTTGCATGCTCTTGAGTAAGAGAGCATTTCAGCCTTCCTCTGGTTTGTGGTTTGCTTTTTTCTGTCGAGGCGTAGAAATGATAGAACAAAGACTGAGAAAATGGAAAGGGAGTTGGCAGAAAATGTGTTTTCCAATTACGAAGTTTAAAAATTGTAGTGCCAGTTCTACTAGTTTGCTAACAAGTTTTCAGATTAAGCACTGCAACTGCACTGTTAAACTCAACTCAGCGAATGCATTGCTGAGTGGATTGACTTCAGTGATACTCCAGTCTCAGCTAGGGAGAGGAAAAAATGTTGAGTTCTTTATCACATCCAGTACTTCAAATGGAAAGTGTGCGAAGATGGGCATTATCTGAGAGAAGGATCGGGCTCAGCGGTGATGCCCTCCATGATCAAATAAATTGCCTTTGTCCAGACTCACTATGAAAGATGATCCTTCAATCAAGGTTGGAGAGTGAGTGGCACCCATGGAACTGTGCTCCAGTCTGAATTCATTCCCCCTTTGGATAAGAAATGTGCACTTATGTGAAGTAAAGTGCATTTAAGATATCAAGGTGCTAATGAAACTATTTCCATTCTGAACCATGAAGGCAAAAAAAGATCAATTTTTAATAGTGATTTATATTATTGATAATAATCCTTGCATTTGATATAATAGTGACTTATGTTGGGATCAGCACATTGGGACGTCGTACTTGCATGAAGATAATAATAATCCTTGCCTTTGATATAGTGCCTTACCACTTTGTTGAGACATCTCAAAGCTTCACAGAATATACTGTAAAATAAATGGCATATTTTGTGAGTGAAAGATGCTATACAAATGTAATTTGTTGATTGTTATTGAGTTCTAAGGAGCTATCTAATGTATGTTGGCTGATGGTCCCTGGTCAATATAACTTGATAATTGTGCGGTAATTGGTCGTTAGTGTTTTATTGAGTCCATCAATATCCGTCAATTCTCGAGTGCCACTTGTGTATTCCATGATAGAGAAGTAAAATAAAGCATCACCACAACTCCATTGCACTCTAGTGCATTACGAGTATAATGGAAGATGGGGCTGAGTAACCATAGCAGTCTTGTATTGAGGTTTTTAGGTTTTATGAAATCAATTAAATGAAATGAGTGGCAAGTTAGTCTGTATCTGCGAGTGAAGGGTTGGTTAATATTTTTGCCTTTTTCAGACCTTAATCATGTTTTCTGTTCATGGTGTCGATATTATCATTTCTGGATAGATCATGGCCTGGGAGCACAGGTGTCTCTGAAGTTCTGTTTGTGTTTGTCCAGTCTGTAGGCATTGTGGTCAGTTACATGCACAGCACTGTCCTTGCAAGCCACTGATCTCTAACTTCAACTTCATTGTCATCTATAGATACCCCAGTAGTGAGCAAATGTGTATTTCTTTTCCCTTCGTGTCCTGTGATGCTGAGTGATTGCAAATTGCTTGTAATGCAGAAGCTATCACGCGAGTCCTTTCCTGTCATTGAATAATCCAAATGTTACAATTGAGGACTGGGCAAACGGGAAAAGGGCAGCAGAACAGAGACGTTGAAATCCCCATTTTTAAAATATGAAGTGAAACTACTATTCAAATACATGTGCAACCTTATTCCCAATTAAAGTGTGTGAACTATATTAAGGGGGAAGAAATCAAATGAAAATATATTTTAAGTGACTTATTTGAAACTTTACTAAGCTATAAATATGGAGTGAAGAATCCAATATTGTTTGTATGTGGGGTTGCCTGAAGATATTTCAAAGCTAACATCATATCAATTGTTGGATTTCCATCAACAGAAAGACTTGTGATAATTAGTGTTCCAGGGTTTGAACCGTAGTAAGAATCCCAGTCCTGGTTTCAAAACACACTACAGATTGATACCAGATAGGTAGTCTTATTGAGATTCTTAAAATAATGAAGGGATTCGATAGGGTAGCTACAGAGAAACTACAGGTATTGCTCCTTGTGGGGAATCCAAAACAAGGGGGCATAATCTTAAAATTAGAGCTAGGCCATTTTGGAGTGAAGGAAGTTTTGGAGTGAGGCAGTTTTTAACCCAAAGGGTAGTGGAATCTGGAACTCTCTTCCCCCAAAAGGCTGTGGATGCTGAATTCATTCAAATTTTCAAGATATTTGCTAGGTCAGGGTATCAAGGGATTTGTGGCAAGATTGGGTAATTGCAGTTGAGGTACAGATCAGTCATGATCTTATAGAATGAGAGATAGAGAGGTTGAATGGCCTCCTCTTGCTCCTATGTTCCTATTTATTGAGCCCAGCTACTGTTGAGTGCTTTGAGAAGCTACCCCATGTGAAGGGTGCTATATAAATGCAAGTTGTTTTGTGCAAATGCCTTAAGAATTTATGCAAATCTCAGTACATTAGATGGGATTTTGAGATTCCCTTAATCCCAGTGTATTTTGTGTTTATTTTCCAATGTTGCTTGGTTCAGCGCCTTGAGACGACCTCCCGATGCAATTTGTGGTGTGTGACTTGATTTCTGGTCATGCTTTTGAATTATAACCAGCCAGCAATGATTGTAGGGCATTAGCTGAATGATGGAAGTAGCAGTCGGAACATTGACGGTGGTTTCCACTGGCTACATGGTGGCCTAAATATCATTTTAATAGTCAATAATGCACCAACCTTCTTGAAACAATTTTATTAACTTTAAAACAATAAATTAGCAAAGGATGACAACGAAACTTCATGAAGAACAGCTTGCTTATCAGTGAATTTGTCCTAGACTTACTACAATTTTATACCTAGATTGTTTCCTGGGCTTCACTTTTGGAGGAATAGTCTGTGCTTCAATGAACAAATTAATTCCTGGACCTTGTGTTTTCATCTATCAGACTGCCAAGGACAGATAGGAATGGTGACCAGAAAAATACTATTGCAATCCTGCCCTACAAATGTAATCTTGTTGTTGCCCTACACAAATGATTCCGAGATAGAACTTTCTTGGCTTTGGGTTTGTTCACAGGATATTCAGTAAGAGCTGGATAAAGCTAAAAGCTTTCAAAGTGTGGATTACTCCAGTTCACAAAATGCTGTTTGCCATCTGTTTATCAGCACATCTATCCCCAACAGTGACATTGTGGTGTCAGCCTGGCTCAGTTGGTAGCATTGGTTCCCAGCCGGAAGGTTGTGGTTTCAAGTCCCAGACGAGTGCAGTGGTCTCCAACCAGTCGATCGTTGCTTCGTGGTCGGTGTCTCTCTCGCGCATGCTCAATAACAATGTGAGGAAGGAGCAATATTTACCGCAGATTAAACATTAAAGTTTATATTGTTACTCGAGGTGCCTGAAGTACTTAGTGTATCTGGCTTTGTTTTCAATTGGACTCAATAGCTAAGTAGTTCTATCGCTTCTTGCCCGTCTTTTTGACCATACACGAGAGCGCCACCTAGTGACGGTTGACCGGTTGGAGACCCCTGTTTGAGGTGATACCCCAGTGCTGTATTGGGAGAAAGCTTCATTATCAGAGATTCCCGCATTCTAATGAGAATTAAGACAGGTCCCGTCTGCCTGTGCCGGTCAATAATAACACTTGGACGGCACTATTTGATAAGAGAAGGGAGTTTCTCCCAGTGTCCTGGCCAATAATTCTCCAAATAAAATTCACTTCAGAGCTGTTTGTGAGACATTGCTGTGTGACAAGAGGCTGCTCTGTTTGGCTACAAATGCACGTTAATACTTTAGCAGTTTGTGAAGCACTTTGAAATGTTTACAACATTGTAGGCACTTAGGCACTACGCTAAATGCGAGAATTTTATTATTCCAGATTATTGAAGATCTCAACCTTCCTAACCTTCCTTGCTTTTGTTATTCCTTGGCTGGTCGCGATCAAAAAGGGAGGAGAGGACTGTGCAGCTGAGCTGCCATTAGTTTAGATAAGATTTTGTAATGTACATTATGAGAAACAATGAGCCTGCGCCACTACAAGAAGACCTTTCTCACCTTTTTGGACAACTGAAAACATTTCCTTAACATATATTTAAAAGTGTCAAAGTCCATTAAGTTCATTTAAATGCAGCAGAATTTTTTTAAAAAAGAGCCCATCGTTATACCTGACTTGCTGTTTGCCGTGGTGCTCAGTATTTGTAGTGTGGAGCTACAGTGAGTGATGCAGTCCGTGGAATGCTGTGTCCAACATTCCTATCTCGTTGGAGATGAGCAAGCGTTGGGGAGATTTTACTGTTTAATGTGTAACGTATTTCTGGCTGAAGCTAAGATGGAAGTGTGCACCGTGATGTCATTGCTGGTTCTCAAATGGCCAGATAATCTCTCATCCCTCATTCAGCACAATTCAGAAGCAAGCAACCGGGGGAATAATCCTCAAAAAAAGAAAAAAATAGGACATGACTACAATAAAGAATAGTTGGGAGAGTTCACATCACAACAGCTATTTAGTCAAAGGTTCCTTCCCTCTCCTTCTCTTCCGCCTCCCTTTCCCCCATCCCCCCAATACACACTCCATTCCTGAGACTGTCATTTTACTGTATTCCTTGTGGGTCTGATCTTGACAGCGTAGTTTGTCTAACAGGTATGGAGATGTGTTAAACATTCAAGATTAAAGAATGAGTTACAGTATCTAGATAAAGATTAAAAGCATTCAGAGTTACACTTGTTGCAATTTCTGACAAGATCTGTATCGTACCAATAAATTTTGGATATGCTCCTCAGTATAAGGGAGTAGAGTATAGTAGCATATTGGTTAGAGCATTCGCCTTGCAAGCGAGAGGACCCAGGTTTAATTCCCAGGCAAGTTAGGCGTGTTTCCTTACTCCCGACGCTTCCGTTTACTTTGCTGTAAGTAAGAACCTGTTTGTAGGAACCCGTTTGTTATTTGATTGGTGGATCACTTTCCGGGGGTAATGATCCCTTAAAAAAATGATGATTAGTCGCTCAATCCACGACTGTTTATGGGGCACTGTTTTTCGACCACAAAATATACAGTCAATTCACTTACAGTATGTTCTGTGAAGCACTTTAAAACGACTCAACGTGTGATAAGATACTATATCAAATGCAGGGATTGTTATAATTATATTAAATAAGTACCTGTCCTATCCTGTGATTTGTTATGGCTGGTCATTTGAAAACTCTGTTTGCAAGCCTGAAATCATCAAGAAGTGACGCTTCTGATTTGTGAAGAGAGTGCATGCCACACTTAACTTTCACGTCAGTCAGTGGCTTCACATTTCAGTTACCCAAATGTCAGATATCAAGCAAAGTGGGAAGCATTGGAAACAGTTTCCAAAATGATTTATTTTATAAAAGAATTCAAGTGGAAAAGGCAGAGTGTTGGGCTTAATAAAGTTATTTTAAAAATTCTAATGTGGGTTGTACAATAATGCATACCCTCAGCTCCTCAGCCATCATCTAACCACTGTTAACTTTGTACGGTTTCCCCCCCCCCCCCCCCCCCGTGACCTTTTGAAAATGCGCATATGCCTGCAAAATAAACATAAGAAGCTATTACTCAATTTTGAGTGTTTTTGACTGACGTCATTCGGCTGAGACGTTAAACTGTGGTCCCATCTGCCTGTTCAGGTGGATGTTAAAGGCCCCATGGCATTATTTGAACAGAGAAAGGAGTCTCTCCCGGTGCTCTGGCTAACAATCTCCAAATATAATTGGCCATTCAAACTGGCTGCTGCATTTTGCCGATAATATATACAGTCATTCCACTTTACAGTACACCCTGTGATGCGCTTTGACACTTCTTGATGACACGATAAGATGCTATATTAAATGAAAATAATATAGTAATGCAGTTAAGAATGAGTTAGGCAGTTTGAAGGGCATTTTAAAGGCAGATGGATAGACATGTATGAGAATTGGTGCATTGTATCACTTTACTGCCCAACCACCTTTCTATTTGCCAAAAGTCAGTAACTAATTTAATTTGAATCCCTTTTCTATTCCAGATAATGCATGCGATCCAGGAGTGTGTGCCAAACAAATGTGGATTGACGTGACTGAGATTAAAAATGAGCTCTGCCTGACCTTCACTGATAATGGGAATGGAATGACTCCAATTAACCTTCACAAAATGTTGAGGTAGTGTGCTCAAGGACAAACACCACAACTCCCATTTTATCAAGGTCTTTCTCAACAAAAAACATGTGGGAAACAGTTTGCAGCAGATCAAATCTATCACAATATCTCAATATAATTTATATTTCAACAGTGCCTTTCACATCAGGCACACATTTTGAAGCACGTTACGGAGATGGTTTAACAACAACAACAAGATTCCATTTATAGAACGCCTTTCACGTCAGGAGGACGTCCCAAGGCGCTGTACAGTTGGGTCAGGACCCGAGCAGGGGGGAAATGGTCAGGGTGAGGGAAGGGAAGGGAGAGAGCGAGGAGGGGGTAGAGAGTCGAGAGGGGAGCTGAAGGCTCGGTCAAAGAGAAAGGTCTTGAGACCGGCCTTGAAGGAGGAAAGGGAGGAGGCAAGGCAAAGGCACTGGGGGATGGAGTTCCATGGAAGGCTTTGAAGATGAGGACCAGGATCTTGAACTGTATCCTCTGTGTGATGTAAAGCCAGTAGAGTTGGGCGAGGATGGAGGTGATAGGGTCGCGGAGCCTAGTGCGGGAGAGGACACGGTTTGCAGAGTTCTGGATGATCTGCAGCCTATGGAGGGAGGAGTTGGGGAGGCCGACAAGCAATGAGTTTGCATAGTCAAGCCTTGATGTAATGAAAGTAAGTATGAAGTTTTCGGTGGCCTGTGGTGTGAGATAGTAGTGGAGCCGAGGGAAGGCAGAGCGGGTCATGGTGTAGATTGTGAGGTAGAAAGGATAATTGAGGGTCCTGAGGAGTCGCTGACTGGACCTAATCAGGAGAGCCTCGGTCTTGTTGATGTTCAACTGAAGAAAGTTAGCTCTCATCCAGGACTTGATGTCTGACAGACATTCTGTCAAGACAGCAGTGGCCTTGGAGTCAAGGGTGGAGGCAGAGAGGCAGAGTTGGGTGTCATTCGCAATCATGTGGAAGTTGACCCCATGTCTGTAGATGATGTCACCAAAAGGGAGTGTATAGATATTGAATAGGAGGGGACCAAGGACAGAGCCCTGAGAAACTCTGCACGAGACGAGTGCGGGGGCTAAAGGAGAAGCCGTTTGTGCAGATGAAGTGGAGACTGAACCATTCAAGGACAGAGCTGTGAAGGTTGAGGTGAGAAGATAGAGTGGCCGATGGTGTCGAAGGCAGCAGAGAGGTCAAGGAGGACGAGGAGGCAGAGGGAGCCCTGGTCGCAGATGGACAGAATATCATTTTTCACTTTGACCAGGGCTGTTGCTGTGCTGTGGAGATGTTAAACTGAGGTCCCATCTCTTATTCATGTGAATATTTAAAGTGTGTTGGGTTCCAAATAAATTAGTTATTTGTTTCATGGCTGTTTCTGGGTCATGCTGTGTACAAATTGGCTACTGTGTTTTCCTAAAATATATAGTCAGTACATTGAGAGCAATTACCAGTGAATTGCTTTTTGAGACGTTTCGATATTTTGTGTGCTGTATCATATGTTAGGATTGTTATTATTTGGTAGTATTGCCTTGTTTATTTTAAGACAATTAGCTCTCTTTAGCAGTGCTTTGCATTCATCTGTATTGAACTTCATTTACCAACTGATATCTTCTGAGCTTGTAAGATTTTGGCTGTCTTCTCTAATGCATCTGGAAATTTGAATACTTTGTTGTGAATCCATGCCATTTATGTATATTAGGATGAGGAGGAGTCTGAAAACAGACTCTTACTCTGAAAGAGACAGAAAGAATCCTATAAGATTTCAGAGGCAGTGAAAGGTCTTTTAGAAATAATTAAGACCTTTGTCCTCCCTAGCCCAGGGGCACAGGTCAATTCTCACGTCCCTGCTGGTACCTGAGTTGAGATAATCAAACTCTTTGCAGACCAGGAACCAAACTTGAAGGGTTTCTTGATCAGCAATTGTTGATTACTGCATTTACCTACTGAGCTATTGTAAAGAGGGAAGCACGGTAACTTTTAAACCCATACAAACTCTTAAGAAACCTACCTACTTATGCTTTTGACATTGACGGACTCCAAAAACTTTGCTTAAGGCTCATAATGGGATGTCCTCCCGACGTGAAAGGTGCTATTACAAATGTAATTTATTAATTTGTTATGATCAACTTGCCATTTCTGTTTTGGTGTTGCAGTTTAACCCCAAAGACACAAAGGAAAGATAATCTAAAACGATGGTGACAGATTCATGAAGTGGTTTCAGAAGCAATATGATGCGAATGATGTAAAGTTAGCCATGCTGTGCAGTTGGCTGTGCAGTTACAAACCGCCTCAATATTGACTGATACTAAAAAAATCTGATTAAGTTATTCTAATTGATAACACTACTTTATATTACAACAGATCAATGCATGCAGTGTCACGAAACTAAGACAGTTAGTTAGTTTTGACAACAGAAGGAAAGCATAATTTGGTCAACTAGCATATTTTGGTAAAAAAATATTGATTGTAGTGATTTGGTAGTTTGGTATTAAAAAGGTGAATCCCAACAATGTTTCTCCCCACCCTGGCCCCCCCATCAAAATTGTGGGATGTGACTGTGAGAACGATATGGGAACATCGACTTGATTAAAGCTTTCAGTTAATGAACGAATGCAGTGGGGCACAGAGAAGCAACTGATAAACAAAAGGTTATGGATAATGATAGCCCAATTGATAGCCAGGCACCTGATGTGGTGACTCGTGTCATCTGTTTCCTTGACCTTTTTACTCTGTAGCTTCCTTTCCTTTTGGTGAAATCTGAAGATGATAATAATAATCCTTTTTATATAGCGCCTTTTCACGTCTTCGACACATTTCAAAGCACTTCACAGAATATACTGTAAAGTAGATTGACTGTATATTTTATGGGTGAAACAAGGCAGCCAAATGTGCACAGCAGTGTCCCACAAACAGTTGTCGATTGAATGACCAAATTATTATTTATTTATTTTTGAAAGGTATTATTATCCCTGGGTAAAGATGCGCCAATTGGCTAACAACCGGGTTCCTATTCACTGCTAGGTAAACAGAAGCATGTGGACTAAGGATTCTTGCCTAGGGTTTCGCCCTGCCCCGGAATCAAACCCAGGTTTCAGATCATGTCAGTTCAGATGGTAAAGTCGTCATAAACTGTAAGGGCAAACATTGAGCAATTCATAGCTTTCACCTGAACTCTAAAATTAGACCGCAGCCTTCAAATTCCTCCCTGGGCTTCAACTTTATGCAGCGGTTTTGATGTTTTTGACCATTTATTATATTAACAGTAACTGTCAGTTTGGAATACAAAAAGGGGACGGTGCAAATGTCTTCCATTCAAAGTTCTCCCCAACTATATTAGTCACTCCAAAAGACACTTGATTTCCCTATAACATGTAATCTAAGCTGTCCAGCCAAATATGCTAAGGCTCTCCTTGACAAAAGTTTTTTTTAAAAAATCAAGTAATTAGCTGTCTGCGTTTTTCCCGACCCAACTGTACAGCGCCTTGGGACGTCCTCCCGACGTGAAAGGCGCTCTATAAATGAAATGTTGTTGTTGTATACAGTCAATTCACTTTACAGTAAATTCTATGAAGTGCTTTGAGATGTCTCAACAACATGATGGAAGGGTTATTATCATTATTATATCTCTGAGAGATAGAGAGAGGACCTTATAAGACCTTATGCGATACTTAATGGAGAAAGTAGATTTAGAAGAAATACCTCAAAGCAGCATAAGAGGGCAATAATAGAAATACAGTCATTACACTGTACAGTAAATCTTAGGATACACTTTGAGATGTTTCAATGACTTGATAAGGCGCCATAACAAATGCAACGATTATTTTATTATTTAGGTACATGTATGTTTTCTAGACATGCCTTTTGCAATTTAAATTCCAACTACAAATGTATTGCACCTAATCAAATCATCTCTGTTGGTTTACACGGTAAAGTCAGTGGAATGTTCAGTTTATTCCATTCTTAAGACTCTTTTCCACTGTTAACTTTGTGGCAAGAGTTTAGTTTCAAATGTCTTTTAACCTGGATTCATCTGAGCACTGGAATATTGTTGCTCCTCACTATTGTGCCACTTGAGCTGTCTCATTAACATTCTGTGGTTTAAGGTTAGCTGCTGTTCTGTGGTTCAGGACATTTCAGTGTGTGTTTTGTCCGAGAGCGTGCTGCTAGATGCTTAGATGTGAAATGTATCACCTTAAACATCAGATACATGTATTCTTCAACTTCAAATCCCCCTATAACTGGGATGGAGTGCTAGATTACATCAAGTGGAGTGAGTGAGTGATCGGGCAAGCGAGTGAGTGAGTCAGCAGGCGAGCGAGCGGGCCGGCAGGCGAGAGGGGCCGAGTGGGCCCGGCGGACGAGAGGGGGCGGGCGAGTAAGAGAGCGAGTCGGCGAGTGAGTGAGTGAGTGAATCAGTGAGTGAGTGAATGAATTGGCGAGAGCGAGTCGGTGTGCGATAGGGGGCGGGCGAGAGGGAGCAGGTGAGTCGAGGGGCGGGCGGGCAAGTAGACAGTCGAGGGCAAGTGAATCGGCGAGCGAGTCGGCGGGTGAGAGCGGCGGGCGGTCTGGTGGGCGGGCGAGAAGGTAGGCGGGTGAGTCGGCAGATGAGAGGGCACGCGAGTCAGTGGGCGAGAGGGCGAGCCAGAGTGTATGGGCGAGTTGGCAGGCGAGAGAGCAGGCGAGGTAGTGGGCGGGCTAGAGAGTGGACGAACGGGAGGACCAGTCGCCGGACACACACTTACTGACTGACATGCACAGTGCAATAAAGTCTTGCTGTAGTTGCTTTTTAGCACATTGGTCTTGAATGTGTCGGAGGTGCAGGGCATCCTCCTGTTCCTGACTTCCTTTCTTTGATAGGTCCAAGTAGCTGTTTGAGCCCTGCCCCCACTGTGATGATTCCCCACCCCCCCACTTCTAAAGTTGACTTCCTCTTGATGTTTTACTGCTCTGCTCAGTTCTCTGACCACGAGGAATTTCGAGAATTTCAGTTGCTCAATCAGCTCTGTATATTTCAACTAGACCATTATTCAACAGTAATTAACAATTCATTGATAAACCCAACACATGAATTGATTTCTCAAAAATAGTTTATTGCTTATTTTGTTTATAGTTCCACCCATAAAATGCAGTCAATTCACTTTACAGTATATTCTGTGAAGCGCTTTGGGCATCTCAGCGACCTGATAAGGCGCTGTATCAAATCAAAGGATTATTATTAAATGATATTTCAGCCAATAATAATAATAATCCTTGCATTTGATATAGCGCTTTTCACGTCTTGTAGACGTCCCAAAGCGCTTCACAGACTATACTGTAAAGTGAATTGACTGTATATTTGTGGGCGAACGCGGCAGTCAGTTGCGCATAGCAGCGTCCCACAAACAGTTGTGGATTGAAAATAACCAATTTTATTATTATAATAATAAATTGGTGCAGCATAATTATTAACCTCACTTTGCTGAAGTGTTCAGATTTGGTTGAATACGTTAATTTCTTCTTGACCTGGGAGTCTATAACAATAACCCAATTATTAGTTTGCTTCCCCAAGCTGGCTGCAATTTCCATTTACACCAATTCCTGTTCTCTGTTGTTTGATATTAAATGTAGACTTTTCCAGAGGTTTTGCTTACTTTTACAATCCCGTCCATCTTTGGCGACTTCTTGAAATAATTTGTTTGGATGGTGAAATTCAACAATTATTTATCCCTTTCACCGCATAAACCTATTTATAACATTTTCACATCTCATCCACTGCCGAACAGTGTGATTTTCACACGTGCTGTAAATGTAAATGTATTGCAGCGGGGCTCAAGACACTAGCATTTCCCGTCCATTTCATACTATGCAAAAGGAGATAAGTGGGCTTGGCCCTAATAATTTGCAGCACAATTTGATCGCCAATTCACCTAGGTACCTTCAAAAAGGTTCATCCAATCTGCCACTGGCTCATGCCTCCCCCTTAAAGTGGTTGGCACCAAGCTTGGATTAAATTGCATCATTAAATTGATTGTTTAAGCAGATTTTTCACAGATAAAATTATATTTTAAAAAAATTGTAGACTCCTAAAATTAGTCATAAAAATGAACTGAAAAGACATTTGTGAAGTTCTCAACCACATCTGTATTGTCACATTGTCTCTTCCCCTTTCTCCCTTCAACATAAAATTCCACTGATGAGGAGAAATGAGGTTTGATTTGTGCAGTTAGCTTCCACAGATTTGAGCAAGCCCCTATTTTTAAGCCCTATGTTAAATTCTGCTGGGAGCTACTCACAGTTGCTTGAAACCCAAAACTTAGACTCCTGACTCTCGAGCATCAGCCATTTGTATACAGATAATAAAGGGCACTAACATGATTCCCCAGAGCAAAGCTTGAAGGGCAATCATGAACCAAACCCCATAATGAGGTTACTGTATGGTGTATTGTAACATCTGCTGTGGACGTGAAAGAAGTGTTTAATTTTGATTCTACTTGTATGCCTCAAGACCCGCCTCTTCGACCGTGCCTTCAGTCACCCACTTAACCCTACTCTGCCCCCCACCCCTCCTGATCCCAAATCTCTGCTTGGGTCCAAATCCTTGACTATCAAGCACCTTGGGACGTCCTCCTGACGTGAAAGGTGCCATACAAATGTAATTTGTTGTTGTTATTCTTCCCAGTGTGTCAATGTCACCGAGGCCCAGAGGATCCATTGTTGATTGATAGTCACATGCAAGAATATTGGTTGTACTGCACACTTAGAGTGGAGATCTGTAGTGGTTAACCAGAAAATAACACAGAGTGATTTTAGTGGTGCAGTACATTCTATATCCATCTATTGGAATGTGATGTGTGAGAGAGGCTTTCTCAATCATGCAGTGCAGGTCCCCATCTCCACCACATCGGACATGTGGATTGCAGTTTTTGACTGATCCCAGATTTCTTAAACCAAACAAAAAAAAGTTGGTAACTCACTAACGAACAGCTTAAACTACAACTGCAACCCTGAGGATTCAGCATCAACACACTTTACCAGTGAGAACAGCTCTTGGGGCGAGGTTCCATCTCCCACACATCTGGTAGATTTGGTGCAAAGAATATTGATCGTCTGTGAAATGATCCAATTATAATATTTTGTTATAATCACCCAAGTATATCATAACTACAAATTGAAGAGTGTTAAACCAAATACTATCAGGATCGTATTGGTGCACAGCACAATTTGAAGTTTTGCTTTTGGGATGAAAATACAGTAATTTCACTGACTGAGGTAAACAAGAAAGATGCAAATGGCTTCTGGCAGAAATAGAATCATAGAATCGTACAGCACAAAAAGGAGGCCATTCAGCCCATGGAGTCTGTGCGGCTCTTTGAAAAGAGCAATGTAATGTCAATCCCACTCCCCAGCCCTTTCCCCATAACCTGCAAACCCGTCCTCCTCAAATAGCCGTCCACTGCGTTTTTAAAAGTAGTTATCGATTCGGCCTCGACCGCCCTTTCAGACAATGCGTTCCAGATTCGAACAATTTGCTGCGTAAAAAAATTTCTTCTCACTTCCCCCTCGGCTTTTAGAAACTATTTCATGTAACATGCTGCTTTGTCTTGTTAATCTCTTTCATAATCACTGCTGAAGCTATTTAGTTTTCAATTTAGTGAAGAAGTCATGTAAATCACGTAATCCTGCAGTGCATTGGTTAGAGCATTCATCTCGCAATCGCAAGCGAGATGACCAGTGTTCGATTCCTGGGTAGGACAAAACATTTAGCAAGTTTCCTTACTCTACACGCCTCTGCATACCGAGCAGTAAATAGGAACCCGGTTGTTAGTTGATTGGCGGATCGCTCTCCTGGGGTAATAATCCCTTCTAAGAAGAAAAAATTTGGTTACTGAATCCATGACTGTTTTGGGATACTGCTATGCGTAATTGGCTGTTTTTTGCCCACAAAATGTAGTCAATTCACTTTACAGAATATTCTGTGAGGCACTTTGAAACAACTCAATGACTCGATAAGGCTCTATATCAAATGCAAAGATTATTATAAAACGCCTTTGCTCTCTATGCTTCGAATCCTTCTTGAAATGATTTCTCCTTGATGCTGCATTGAACCCTTAAAAGTTCTTCCTTCTGATCTTAACACTTTTGGCTTTATGAAACATTCATCCTTTGTGATAGGTGCAATATAAATACAAGTTGTTGTTGCATAGCCTTTTAATTATTAAAATGTGAGTTATTTTTTTAAAAAAAGTTGATCAAAGATAGAAAGTGGGAGAAAGCAAGTTATTGTAACAATAGCTGAGAAATAGATTTAATGGATCAATGAAAAGACAAGGTGGAACAAACTGAGAGAAAGAACATTTTTACTGTTTGTCTCATGACTTTGCATCCATTCTTACCTTGGACTTCAACTTTGTTTTCACAGCTTTGGCTTTACCTCCAAAACTGGGACAAGAAAACACTTGCCGATAGGAATGTATGGGAACGGATTTAAATCTGGCTCCATGCGGCTTGGAAAGGATGCTATAGTCTTCACCAAGAATGGTGGAGCTTTAAGTGTGGGCCTCCTGTCACAGAGCTACCTGGAAAAGATCAAAGCACAAGCAGTCATCGTCCCCATCGTGCCTTTTAACCAACAGAATAATATCCTTTTCATGCTGGAAATGTTGTAAATATGTGCTTCAATTTATCACCTGTCTTAATATCAGGGAATTGGGTTCTCCTGCTCAGTGCACCATTTTTTGTTGTTAATCCTGTCCATTGTATGTATTGATTCTTGAGAGTATTCTGTTATATTGATTTCCCAAGTCACCATGGACTTCTTAGTGACTGAAAATCCCAAAGACTCACAAGCTCTTTGGGCTCTGACAATTCCTCATTGTTTTGAGATACAGAGATACCATGAACTGGCCCTGTTACACCAAGGATAAGGTAGGGGTCTACATCAGATAGTTTCTAAAGGTTGTGATTTATTCATTATCTCTTATCTCTTTCTAATGGTGCTACATCAAATGTAAGGGTTATTATTATGTCTAATGAAAAAAACATTCTAATGTGTAACAAAAAGATGTATTTGTTTAACAATCGGTATATGATGGCAACCCTCTCCCAGAGCTTTTAAACAAACTTTGTTCCATTTGGATGGGTTTGATACGTAAATCGTCACTTTACAGCTAATGTCGTGTATGCTGTACGTGTGGAGTTCAGCTCTGAACTCTTGAACAGAGTCCTGTAGAGTATTGGTTAGAGCACTTGCCTCGCAAGTGAGAACCCGATTTCGATTCCCAGGCAGGGCGAAACCTTAGGCAAATTTCCTTACTCCACATGTATCTGTTTACTAGCAATATCTTGGAACCCATTAGCCAATTGGCGGATCGCTAACTGGAGGTAATAATTCCTTCAAACTAAATAAATAAAATTACTTGGTCACTCAATCCACAACTTTGTGGGACACTGCTGTGCACAATTGGCTGCCCACAAAATATACAGTCGATTCACTTTACAGTATATTCTGTGAAGCACTTTGAGATGTCTCAATGACACGATAAGGTGCTATTAATATTAATAATTATCCTAGATGCAAGGATAATTATTATTATAACAGTTCCACGTGTGAAACTGATCTGCAGAGCTCCTGTGTCTTTGGATGTTCTGTGTTGTGTTCTTTTCAGTTTACTCAACTCTGTGTCGTGCTTTATTTCCCTGTGTTTGTTCCCTGGAGATTTGTTATGCAGTGTTGAAGACAGTCCTTTGAGTCCCTTTGTGTAATGCACCATGAAGTCAATTAGTTCACCTGTGACAACGTTAGGATGAAGGTTTAAACTGCAGCTGATGCCCTTGATGCAATTTGACAATTAGCCATTAAATTCACACTCTAATAGTGTATCCGAATGAGCAGTTTATTAGATTGTGGCTGCTTGATGACTCTGTGGTTGTTAACTCTTAATTGTGCCTACTTTATACAGCGGGACCTTTTTAAAGCAGCTGTGAAAGAAGGTTGTGATGAGGGATGCAGTTAGACTTGTTCATGTTTGTGGAGAAAGTGGAGGCTTGAGAGACAGTGTTTCTCTCCACTTAGAATCACAGAATGCTATCATCACATATTCGGTCCATCATATCTGCACATAAGCTAAGCCACCTAATCCCACTCTCTTGCTTTCTCCCTGTACCCTTTTACATTCGTCTTCTGGATACGAGCATCTATCTAATTCCCTTGTAGGAGAAATTGTGAACTCTGCTTCAACTGCAGTTTGTGCCAGGGAATTCCACATTCTGTAAAGGAACCACTTTTATTCTGTCATTTCTTAAACGTGTTCTAGCTCATTACCAACTTGCTGAACAGTGTCAACATCTATTACTTCTCTTAACCCTTCATAGTCTCAAACCTCTGTTTACTTAGCAATAAGTAGGAATCCGGTTGTTAGTCGATTGGTGGATCCCTTTTTTGGGGGTAATAATTCCTTCCAAAAAAAATTATACTAATAATAAATTGGTCACTCAATCCACGACTTGTGGGACACTGCTGTGTGCAATTGGCTGCCGAGTTTCACCCACAAGATATAGTTAATTCACTTTGCAGTATATTCTGTGAAGCGCTTTGAGACGTCTCGAAGACGTGATGAGGTGCTACATCAAATGTAAGGGTTATTATGTCTTTTTAACCTTCTCAGCTTGCGAAAAAAGCCCAAGCTTCTCAAGTCTCATAATAACTTCAAATGCTCATAACTGATAACATACTAGTGAATCTATAATGCAGCTTTTCTACCGCATATCTTTTCAGATAAATTTATAATAAGGTCCTAAAGTAGAGAGAGAAATACACAACTTGTAACCAAGATACAAGTTGTGCATTTCTCTCTCTACTTCGTGGAGTCCTGTAGCTCAGTGGTTAGAGCACTCGCTTTGCAAATGAGAGACCCGAGTTCAATTCCAGGCAGAGGGCGAAACCTTGGGCAAGTTTCCTTACTCCACACAGAGCCTAATAGTAATCCCTCCAAAACCAAAAACAATAATTAAATTGGTCATTTTCAATCTACGACTGTTTGTGGGACATTGCTGTGTGCAATTGGCTGCCGCGTTCGCCCACAAATATACAGTCAATTCACTTTACAGTGTATTCTGTGAAGCACTTTGGAACATCCTCCCGACGTGAAAAGCGCTATATCAAATGCAAGGATTATTATTATTAAGATCTTTACTTTCTCTGCCTCCATGCCTTTTGAAAGATGAACATTTCCTTAACTTTGGAAGCACAGAACATGATAATTACTGAGGACTCCAAGCCCAGTCTGGCAGCCATCCTGCAATATTCACTCTTCAAAACACAGGAGGAGCTCTTCGAGGAATTTGATACAATCACCAGCAAGAAAGGAACTCGGATTATTATCTGGAACATCAGAAGGTAGGTAGAAAATCCAGCACAAAACTGCATAGGTTTTGTGGTTGCTGTGCGCAATTGGCTGCTGAGTTTCGCCCATAAAATACAGCCAATCCACTTTACGATATGTTCTGTGAAGCGCTTTGAGATGTCTCAACGACGTGATAAGGTGCTGTATCAAATGCAAGGATAATTATTATTACTTTGGAGTACTGCTGTATCAGACACATGAACTGGCTGCAAAGATTTATCAGTGATTTGTAATTCAGTAAACTGCTTATAACTCGTCACTTCATGGCAAAAGGGATCAGTGATACGTTATCTGGAGTGCCGATTTAGGCATACGTACAAATACAGTAACATTTAAATTATACTATTTTCCATCATGTTGAGCAGCTTATATTTTGTATCAGGCATGCCCATTTTTCAAGTCTCTTAATGGCCTTCAGCCTCTCTGCCCCCACCCTTTGGAACTCCATCCCACAGTCCCTTCATTTTTCTCCATTGCCTCCTTCAAGACCCTCCTCTTCAACCGCTCCCTCAGTCACCCTCCTACCTCTACCTCCCTGCCCTCCACCCCTCCTGATCCCAATCCCCTGCTCAGTTCCAAATTCCTGATTGTCCAGCGCCCTGGGACGTCCTCCTGACGTGAAAAGCAGTATACAAATGTAATTTATTGTTGTTTTGCAGGTTATTTATAATGATAGTCAGTATAGGGCCTTATATCAAAACGTCTCAAAGCACTTCACAGATTGTTCTAGAATGTAGTGACGAGTATTTGGTGTGACAATCAAAATAGTTTGAGTTCTGTTAGATTCTCATTCCACACCATTCTTCTGGCTGATATCTTGTTTCTTTTGCTTTGCCATTGCAGCACTATAAATGATAGTTAGGAGATGTTTGAGAACTACCAGCTTTTTTTTGTTCTCTATTTATGATTTTATACCTTTACCTTGGATTTAGTGCTTATTTTCCATTCTAAATCTTGCTCTGATGTCCTGGTTCAGATCAGCCACTCGCCATGTGGATAACAATGGGCATGAACCCACCTTTCTAACCTTTCTGAACACAGACAAACAGTTACAGAGGTTATGCACAGCGCCATTGGGTTAGAAATGTATCATTGCTGATGACAGATTATTGCTAGTGATTCTGAAAAGTCCTTAACATTTTTGGCATGACCAGTTCAGAGCCAGATGTTTCCCACGTCAGGCTGCCGTGCCATCCTAGTTTGTGGGGAACAAATAGCTTTTGAATTTTTATTCAGGAACAAAGATGGAAAACCCGAACTGGACTTTGAAACGGACCCGTTCGACATCCGAATCCCAGATATCGGCTCTGAGGAAAGTTCGGTAAATCAGGGGAAGAAAACCTCCCTCCGGCCTGAAAGACTCGACCAACAGATTCCTGAAAGCGACTACTCACTAAGGGTGAGTTGTTCTTGGAGTGTGGAATGTTTTGCTCTGTTGACAGCCAGCAGCCAAAGTACAAAGGCCCAATTAGCTAATATTGACACTCACTCACTGAGGCTTCCCTGAGCATGTTGTTACCAGTACACAATCGGGGAAATCCAACAGTGGCTCATTGAAGAGAATGTTATTACTGCTGATGGGAGCTTGTGTCCTCTCCTACACCAAACTCCGTGACCCTATCACCCCATCCTCGCCTGTCTCCACTGTCTCCACATCCTCCCAGAGGATAGCGTTCAAAATCCTCGTCCTCACTTTCAATTCCTTCATTGCCTTGCTTCTCCCTACCTCTGTGACCTGCTAACTCAATGTAAAACTCTGCTCCCTCCGCTCGGGAATCTGATGTCCCCCGCCCAGCCCGGCTTGCCCCACCCCAACATGTCAAATGAGCTAATGACGGGTATCTCAATAATCAAACTGCAGGCCCAAGACTCTTTCTCAACTCCTTCAGGCCCAACTAAACGTGAGGTTTAATGAGGGACAAATGGATACCTGTATCTAGGTCTCTATCACAGCATCACTGCATTTAGTCGGCCTCCCCACAGATTCCAGATTTGGGAGACAAGCTTGTCCTTTGTGGGACCCTGGATTCTCGACAGGCTGTTACTTCTCATGATCTCAAGAGAGGGGGAGACTTCAGGCTTGATTATTACAGTCCTAGGAACTGCTAGTCTACATTCATCTCTGGAAATTGCAAGAGAATGATTTGACGTTGCAAAGGTGTCCAGTAGCCAAGTCTGAGAAACCACTGCATTGTACTTCTGAGGGTTTTTGTTCATTACCATACTGGTAGAGTTGGTGATAGACTCTCCAGAGAACCCAGATGGAATTGATGCAAGTAAACTTTAGCAGGTGTGAATTTATGCCCCACAGTATTGTAAACACCATGGGCACAAAGGTGTAAATACAGGCACTCTTGAATAAATGTAGTAATAATAATAATACTTTGATGCACAGAAGCCTGACCTGAGCGGGTGGCTAATAATATAGGAACATAAGAACAGGAGTAGGCTATTTAGCCCCTCGAGCCTGTTATGCCATTCTATTAGATCAGCTGATCTGCACCTCAACTCCAATTACCCACTTTTGCCCCTTATACCTTGATACCTTTACCTAACAAACATCTACCCAACTCAGTCTTGAACATTTGAATTGATCCAGCATTGATTGCCTTTTTGGGGGAGAGAGTTCCAGATTTCCACTGGACTTTGTTCTTCCTAATTACACTCCTAAGTGGCCCAGCTCTAATTTTAAGATGGCGCTCCCTTGTTCTGGATTTCCCACTAGAGGAAATAGTTTCTCTGTAGCTACCCTATTGAATCCCTTTTATTATTTTAAAATCCTCAATCGGATAAGATGCTTGCTACTTGTGTATCAACAGTTTGCTAGTGTCAAGAAGACAATGAGGATTATTTTCATGGATGATGACCACAGCATTGTCTTTAGTCTCATTGTGTTTTCAAAGCAGCGACTAATTTTCTCTTGGTATCTTGTTCCAGGCTTATTGCAGCATCTTGTACCTGAAACCTCGCATGCAGATCGTCCTGTGTAAAAAGAAAGTCAAGACCCAGCTCATCACCAAGAGTCTGGCTCACATTGAACATGATGTTTACAAGCCGAGTTTCAGCGTATCCTTTTGGGTTTGCAATGATAAGAAGTTGTTTTTGCGACGGCATTATGAGGATAGTATCAGAGAAAGAAAGGCACAGAATTAAACCATTCAGCCCACCGAATCTGGTATTTACAAAGATTTCTTCCCCCATGTAATTAGATCTGATCAGATTGCAAAATAGCTGTCTGTGCTCTGCAAACTGCAGTGTGGATACCCCAGGGATAATGCTTTAACTGAGCGTTGTGTTGAACTTGGGATTTCATTTAAGAATTTCAGGTAATAGTTATTCCCACTCTCCCCATCTCAACTCCCTGTGTGTTTTTGCCATCCAGCCTCTTATTCTTCCTGATCCACTGTCCATAAGGGATCTTGCATTTTTTCCATTGTGCCTGTCTTAATTTCCCACAGCCATTCCTAGCTCATGTGCCTCAAGGCCTGAAGAAAATGTTGCGAGCTTGGTAATTGTTGCCCAGCAGGAAAGATAGTTAGGAACACTCTAATCGAATGGTTGAAAGGGAGCTGTCTTTCTGTGTTCCAATGGCAAAGTGACTGTCTGGTGCTTTGATTTCCTGTGCACCCTCTGCTCCAATGAGCTTTGTCTTAGAGACCTCTTTAAAAAAACGCACACGTAGTTTTTAAGACATTCACTTCCAGTGCATTTAAGAACAGTGTTGAAAGGTTGACATGAAATAAAAATCTGTTTGTACAGCATCTGGTTAAGAATTAGAAAGATCCTCAATAAGTAAATCACAAATAGTTAAGTTAAGTTTTTCTTTGTGCGTGGTGGGAGGCGTGTTTGGGATGAGGTCTTTCCTGAAGGAGACAGAAAATCGCCCAGACTAGCAGACAGAAAAAAATGTTTACTCAGCTGGGTGTCCGACATGTGGAATATCATCACCATGCTTAAGAGTATCCAAACCAAACTGAGAATTCCATGCTTCTCACTGTACATTCGAAAGGCAAGAGATGTTCATTGGAATGGAGAGTGTATTCTCTCTCTGGAGGGAAGCCTCATGCTTACCTAATTCTGAAGAGTATTAGACGCAGGTTGGCAAGAGCTCTACAAAGGGTAAAAGTTATATATCAATGCCCCATCAATTCTATTCTTTTCCTGAAAATATTAATCAGAATAAACGTGTAAGAATAACCTTTGGTTTTAACTGCAAAAATAAGGAGCACTGCGGAATAATGATGTACCACAGAAACCGGCTCATGAAATCCTATGAGAAAGTGGGATGTCAGAATAAGGTAAGAATTAATTTGATGAATACCTCTTGTGTGTTGGATTTCAAAAGCACAATCAATGCTCCACAGAACATGCATGCTACTTGGATAATAATAATAATCCTTGCATTTGATATAGCGCCTTATGTTTTCAAGATGTCTCAAAGCACGTCACAGAATATACTGTAAAGTGAATTAACTATATTTTGTGGGAGAAACATGGCAGCCAATTGCATACAGCAGTGTCCCACAAACACTCACGGATTGAGTGACCAAATTATTATTTGTAAAAATTTTTTGAAGGGATTATTACCCCCGGAAAAGCGATCCGCTAATCGACTAACAACCGGGTTCCTACTTGCTGCTAGGTAAACAGCGTGTGGAATAAGGAAACTTGCCTTAGTTTTCGCCCTGCCTGGGAATCCTCTTGCTTACTAGGCGAGAGGCTGAAGACACTATATAAATGCAATTTGTTGGTGTTGCTCCAAGTGGAACCTTAACTCCTATTCCTAATTTTTTTGGTTCCACTCTGACGTTTTTGTTCCTTTTTAATGTAAACTGTGGATATCGACACGTGAAATTTTGGATGATGTTATCACCCGTGATAATTATCACATTATGGTTTTCACCACATTTTCCTCTTTAGGACTTCATAGAATGATGGAAAATCTACAGCAGAGAAGTAGACCTGTCAGCCCATCTTGTCTATGTTGGTGTTAATTCTTCCTCTGAAGCTCTCTGCTCTAATCTTATTCCCTTTATTCTTTCTCATACATTTTAATTTCTAAATACTGTATTTATCCAGTTTCCTTTTAAATGCTGTTACTGAGTTAGCTTCAGCAGGGATTTGTGGGAGACCTAAGGACCGTTAAAGTTATGCTTTTATTCATAACATTAAAATTCTGGTATTTAGGGGGAGTTTGTATTTTCTCTTAAAAAAGGGAGAAAATGCACAAAAATGTGTCATTTTTGGTGAGAATAGGGATTTCTTTTGGAACATTCCCAAAGTGATCTACAATGCTGATTACAACAATATACACAAAAAGACAATTCCAACAACGTGACCCAAAAATTTAATATTTGGGTGATTATTATTTTTTATCGATTAATTTTCATGTGGGATTATTCTCTTTAGAGCCGAGAAGTTTGAGGGGAGATTTAATAGAGATATGCAAAATTATGAGGGGTTTTGATAGAGTAAATAGGGACAAACTGTTTCCACTGGCAGGTGGTTCATAAATTCATAGAATGTTACGGCACAGAAGGAGGCCATTCGGCCCATTGAGTCTGTTCCGGCTCTTTGACAGAGCGTCACTTTCACTAACCCCAATCACCAGCTTTCTCCCCATAACCCTGCAAACCCGTCTTCCCCAGATACCTATCCAGTTCTCTTTTAAAAGCTGTTATCGACTCGGACTTCACTACCCTTTCAGGCAGATCATTCCAAATTCGAACAACTCGCTGAGTGAAAAAAATTATTCTAACCTCCCCTTTGCTTCTTTTGGTAGATATCTTAAGACTGTGACCACGGGTCACAGACATACCTACCAGCGGAAAACAGCTCGGTCACCAGAGGACACAGATTTAAGATAATTGGCAGAGGGGAGACTAGGAGAAACTTTTTTTTTAACTGAAAGAGTTGTGACGGTCTAGAATGCGCTGCCTGAAAGGGTGGTAGAAGCAGATTCGATACTAGCCTTCAAAAAGGTAAAAATAATAATCCTTATATTTGATATAGCACCTTAGGTCTTCTAGACATCTCAAAGAATTGGATAGGTACTTAAAGAAAAAAATGTGCAGGCCTATGGGGTAAGAGCATGGGAGTGGGACTAGTATGATTTTCATGGTCCTTAGGTTTTCCACATTTCCAGCAAATGCTTTTTTTCTTATGTTGATAATTTCCAAATTATACCCATTAGTGAAAATAGTCTCTTTTCCCTCTCTTTCTCTTTGTCAGAATCCCTCCCTTAATCTGTTTTTTTTGCAAAAAAAATGCATCTGATTGAAACGACTTAAACAAACATTCAGAAAATAACCATCCAGGTCAGGTTACTTTATTTCTTATGAAGTTGCAGTGGATGGATTTTCTATGAGAATGTCTGAGAATGTTAATAGAGCTGTGAACCTCTGCTGACAAACCCGTCTCAAGGACTTGATTATGCATTGTTATCAGATACCAAGACCGTGGAGCACTGTAGAGTATTGATTAGAGCACTCGCCTCGCAAGTGAGAGAACCTGGCTTTGATTCCTGGGCAGCACAAATCCTTATGCAAAATTTCCTTGCTCCACACACACGCCTCTGTTTACCCAGCAGTAAGTAGGAACCCAGCTGTTAGTTGATGGCGGATCGCTTTCGTGGGGTAATAATCCTCCCCAAAAAACAATAAGGCGCATGCGAGTCACGAGACCAGGTGCAGTCCATTTTCCATTCTTCTCTCTGGCTCTGATGCAGCCTGCTCTATGCACCCCACCATATCCTTGGGCTGACCATGTCCTGCTGACTCATCACTCGCTCTCAGTCACGATGTACGCTTCTGGCTGCCACCCCCAACCTGAGCTACCATTCCCCCAACATACCCTGTCTCCTGTCCTCCATCCTTCACTACTCCTGCTTGCTCCTCCTCGCTTACCGTCCTCCCTGCCTCCGTTCCCTCCTGGACCCACCCACAACTTCCCTATGTTCCAACAACAACATTACATTTGTATAGCGCCTTTCATGTCAGGAGGACGTCTGAAGGCGCTAGACAATCAGTGTTTCGGACTGAGCTGGGGGTAGGGATCGGGGAGGGTGGAAAGCAGGGGGAGGAAGGCAAGTGATCGAAGGGAGGGTCTTAAGACGGGTCCAAAACCTTTGATTGTCCAGCGCCCTAGGATGTCTTTCCGAAGTGAAGGTGTTAGACAAGTGTAATTTGTTGTTGTTGCTGTGCGATAAGGTGCTGCATAAAAGGTTAGTCCAAAAGATAAGGGCCCACGGAATTGGGGGGAGCATATTAACATGGATTGGGGAATGGCTAACGGGTAGGAAACAGAGTAGGCATAAACAAGTCCTTTTCAGATTGGCGGGTTGTGACTAGTGGAGTGCCACAAGGATCAGTCCTTGGGCCTCAGCTATTTACCATCTACATCAACGATCTTGATGAGGACATCAAAGTTAACATATCTAAATTCGCAGATGACACAAAACTAGGAGGAAGTGTCAACACAGAGGATGACATTTAAAAAATGCAGCGCAACATAGATAGGTTAGGTGATTGGGCAGATAGGTGGCAGATGAAGTATAATGTAGGGAAGTGCAAAGTCATACACCTCGGGAGCAAAAACAGTAGAGCGGGTTATTTTTTAGAAGAGGAGAGATTGGAACGTGTTAGCGTCCAGAGGGACTTGGGAGTCCTTGTACACCAATCACAGAAAGTTAGTCTGCAGAGGCAGCAGCAATTAGGAAGGCAAACGGTATGTTAGCATTCATTATGAAAGGATTAGAGTATAAGAGTAGGGAAGTCTTGCTGCAACTGTATAGGGTCCTGATGAGACCACACCTGGAATACTGTGTGCAGTTTTGGTTCCTTATTTAAGGAAGGATGTACTTGCCTTGGAGGGGGTGCAGTGCAGATTTACTTGGTTAGTACCAGGGGTAAAGGGGATGAGTTACGAGGATAGGCTGACCAATTTGGGCCTATATTATCTAGAATATAGAAGAATTAGAGGGGATCTTATAGAAACCTATAGATCATCAAAGGGCATGATAGAGTAGATAGTGGGAGATTTTTTCCCCCTGGTTGGAGAAACTAAAACCGGGGTCACAAAGAGTTGATGAAGAACTTCTTCACTCAAAGGCTGGTGAATGTATGGAATTCGCTACCCCAAAGGGCTGTTGACGCTCAGTCCTTGAACATATTCAAGACTGAGATAGATATATTTCTTATTGCAAATGGGATTAAGGGATATGGGGATAAGGCATATGTTATTAGCTGGAGTTAGGTTAGAAGATCAGCCATGATTGAATGGCGGGGCAAGCTCGAAGGGCCGAATGGCCGACTGCTCCTACATGCTAGGTGTCAGGTTCGACCCCCAATTATCCTTCCTCCCCCAAATCCAGTCCCTCACCAGCACCGCTTTCTACCACCTCCGACGCATTGCCCGTCTCCGCCAATACCTATCCCCAAAAGAGCTACCCTCCCCCTGGCTCCTCCCCCTCCCCGTGGCTCGGTCCCGGGATCCGTTACTGTAAAGCGCTCTGAGACACCGTCCGGCGTGGAGGGCGCTTTATAAATCCAAGTTGCTGTTGTTATGTTAGTTTGCCTACAAAATATACAGTCAGTTCACTTTACAGTATATTTTGTGAACCAGAGACATTTCAAGATGTGATAAGGCGCTATATCAAATGCAAGGATTATCATCACCTAATCATTAAAGGATAGCTGTGTCCTTTTACCTTCTTCTTGTTGGTTATCTATCTCTTGCTGTCAAGCTCTGCAAATCTTTCAAACAAGTTATCCCAAATCATCTAAACTGCACTCACTGTTCAAACAAAAATGTTCTAATTATAAATCAGCTTAAAGCAAAACGAGAAGTGACCTAAACTTCTGAGAAACCATATTACAAAATGAACGCTGTCGATTTTTGTGCACAGTTGGAATGAAGCAACTACTTTTCCGTAGACATAAAAATAATTCACCAAAGTTGCCCATGTACTTCAACTGAAAGCTTGCAAATGGTGGGATTCTTTCTTGAACACACGTCAAAGGAGATCCACAGCTGAATGTAGTTGTTTCCTAGAATTGTCACATCATCTTTAGTGCTTGTCGAGTCAGCTCGAGTGTTGAATGTTCCAGGACATTATTGTGTCACACAGTTTATAGTGAGTGGCACTGGCACATTAACCCAGAATAGATGCACTGTAGGAGTCTGAAGTCAGTAATGGCACAAAGAGCAACATGCCACGTCTTCATTAGTTTGGTTAGGACAATAGCATTGACTTTCTGCCTATCACAATGATGTGGACAGGTTTATGAGTCTCCAATGAAGTAGGTATTGTTAATCTACAGGAAATCAAAATATGTACATTTCAAGTAGCTAAAACCTAACCATGTCTCAGATGCTTCACAACAATTATTGTTAAGTGTAAGGACTGTGAATCTGTAGACAAAAACATCAGTCAGTATGCGCACAACAGTCCCAACATCAGCTCAGAGGGAAATTATTGATCTATATGGAAAACTGTTGGCTATGACACTGGGAGAATTACACAGAGTATAAATGGGGAGGGAGGCAATTTGACCCAACTAGTTTGTATCAATGTATATATTCACATGAGCTTCTATCGCTTCTATCTCCTCCATTACATTCTTCATATTGTGTGCGTTACGTGACTGGAGTGTTAGGAAATCAGCGACAGAAGGGCATTGAGCCAATTCAGTTTATTTGATCTTGCAGTCAGCGGCCACACTTTTAGTTTTACTACCTAAATATCTTGTCTATCTTGCTTTTAAACATCCCTATTGATTCTTCCTCTACAGTTTTCTGGGGCAGAATAGGGTTCCTGAGATTGGGTGCCAAAACAGAACACTGATATCCAAATGAGGTCTGACCAGCACTCTTTATGTTTATAATCCCACACCTCATATTAAATTTCATTGACTTTGTTGATTATTTTCTGCATCTGTGAAATTTATTTTAATGTTTTCATGTGTGTCAGCCTGGCTCAGTTCGTAGCACTCTGTGTCAGAAACCACACATCAGGACATGGAACTCGTATAGTTCCAAGCTGCCACTCCAATTCAGTGCTGGGGGAAGTGCTGCATTGTTGGAGATGCGGTCCTTTGGATGAGAAATTAAACCAAGTTCCTGTCTGCCTGTTAAAGATTCCATGGCACTATTCGAAAAGAGAAGGGAGTTGTTCCTAATGTCCTGGCCAACAATCCCCCAAATTAAACTGATCATTCGCTTTGTGCCTTTTTGTGGAACATTTCTCTGTGCAAATTGGCTGCCATGTTTGCTCACACAATCACTCCACTTTACGTAGTATATCCTGTGAAACACTTTGGGACCTCTTCCTGTCTATACCAATTGTAAGGATGATGATTATTATTATTTATATAAACTTGAACCCTGCTTATCTGCTCATTCTCCCTTCCTCATGCAATCCCACTTAGAACCTACTCCCGACTTTTAATCTTCCATCCCAAAATGTACAACCACATACTTGGTAATGTTTAACTCCAGCTGCCATGGTTCTGCCCACTCCATTAATCTTTGATTGTGTGTATTTTTCACCTGTCCTCTAAACAATTTAAACACCTCCGAGCTTAGTCACATCCGCAAACTTGGAAAAGTCTCTTATATTCCTGTGTCCAGGTGATTTATATATAAGGTGAAAAGCTGAGGCTCATGGAGCACCCCTCCATGGCAGACACCACTTGTCACTGCATGCAAGTCGGAGAACATCCCTTTTATACCAACTCTGCTTCATATCCCTCAACAGCAGCCTCGACCATGATGAGCTCAAAGTTCCTGAGGCAGGACTTGAACCCACAACCATCTAACCAAGAGTGCTATCAACTGAACCAAAATGGCTTAGCTTGGAATAAGAGCAGGATTTTTGGGTGGAGGGAAGGATGTTTCTGAAATGTGTTACTCTACAAAACAGTGATTTTATCCCCTGTGTTTTTCTCCAGTCAACAAGCAGGGCATGTGGAATTGGTGTAATTGGAGTTATCGAATGCAATTTCCTCAAACCAGCACATAATAAGCAAAATTTTGATTACACGAAAGAGTACAGGTAAGACATGAAAGGCACAGAGATGGACTGTTTATTGCAGGTTGTAGTTGTCCAAATCATTGTCAGGGGAGGAGCCGTAGTGCTTTTGTGGACCTTAGTGAATTGTTAGAAGGCTTGCTTAGATCTCAGTGAGAAGATGAAAATCTTGTTTGGACCTTAGGGAGATGGTTAAAGGCTTTGTAGACCTTGGGAGATGGTTAAAGGTTTCTGTGGACCTCAGGAAGATTGTGAAAGAAATTGTGGACTTCATTCCTCGATACTTGGAGATCTGCACAGTGGATTTTTATTGAGTTGGGAGTAAACACTTACCTGTTTCGTGCAGCCAGTGTCAGCTTCAAATACTGTCCTTCTAGACCAGCACACATTGGCTATTGTAAAATGAAAGCTTATTCTACACTGCATCTGAGATTTACAATGCCTAACTGAGGCCTGGTTTAAGTTTATCGTGCTTCTGGAAGAAACCTCGGTTGATTTTCTCATCTAAAAGGCACAATCTTAGCAGCTTATGTAACTTAAGTGAACCCCTCCCCACCCCCCATTATAACTCGTTGGTTGGATCCATAAAATCAATACATCCAAATATACTTTTATAGTGCAGATTTGATTATGTGCAGATTTGATTATGTGCAGATTATCCATTTTAACTTCCCACGCTTTAAAAAAAGCATGTCTGATGTCTGACAAGGATATCAGGTCACCCCTGACATTGCTTCCTGTTTTGTGCGTGTGTAGCACAAGAGGATGACCCAGGAGTTAGTATACTGAGCAAAACTGGCTGTTGCACCTCTTTTTAATAAATAATAATGTTCGCATTTGATAAAGCGCCGATTTCATGTTGTCAAAGCGTAATAAAATACTTCACAAGATATACTGTAAAGTGGTGTGACTGTATGTAATTTATGGTTGTGTATTTTATAGTCGCTTGGCATTATATGGAGCCAACATGTTGTAACGGGGGGCGGGGGAGAGGGGCACTGAGTTAAGCTTCCTTAAGTGATAGAAATGTCTTATGGGCGTGCAAGGTGGTGAGGGAGGGGAGGGAGGAAGGACTCCTTCCTTAGCAAAAGAAGCTGAGTGGATTTGCCCCAAGGTCTGGGATGAGGAGGTGGTAGCCTATGCTGCAGTCTCCTCTCCTGGCCTGGATCGGAGGGTGTACGTTTGCAGTTGTCTGTGAAGCTACCAAATGGCATTGACTGTGAATCAGTGGTCTGTCATTTCTGTTTGGTAGCCAATAGTCATTAACAAATTCTTACATTTTGTTTTTTAACTGTATTGCAAGAATTCAGTGACTTCCTATCTTGCAACCACAGTTCCCCCCCCCCCCCCCCCGAATTGTATTAAAATAATGTGTTATACTTCCTGTTAAAATGTCGCTCAAACTCAAAATGACGTCTGCATATTTGCTACAAACCAAACCGTTCACTTGTTTGGAATCAGCAGGATGAGATTAATGACTTCCCAGTTGAGCAGAGACACATACCTCTCTCAGGGTTCAGTGCTGTGTCCCTTTAGTGTGACAAGAGAAACAATATATTTTTTGTCAGTTTCTTTCTATTTCTGCTACTTCCTTCCGCAAGCCCCCCACACTCCTCCCCTCCCCTTCTCTCAGGAACTGGGCGAGCTTGCTTTGTACCTCTGCCCAACACCCAATTTTAAGAAGAAATTCAAAATGAGTTTTATTTAAAATAGTCAGTTTGAACCAGAATGCCAAAGAGTGTTACTGGCTGAGTAAGACACTGACCACAACGCTTTTATGTTCCTGCTTCCCGTTTCAAGCCTCCAGCTACTGAAACCTCAGAATGACATCTCAGATGTTCTGTGACAGCCTGTGACAAATCGCCTGTACATTTCAACTAATGAACCAGAATGTGTTATAACTCTGTCAGAAATGTGTGACTTGTATGATTTTTTTATAAAACTTGGTTAACTTTTTGAAACATTTTTTTAAAAAGTCTTTTTTGGTCAGCTGACAAATGCAGAAACCCACCACCATGCTAAAGAGCATGCAACCAGAGTTCCATATATGTATGCTAGTTATGGAAACTTCCCTTTGTCTTGACTGAAGTGCACACTCTCTTCCTGAAGGGATGCATTCTGCTTGCACCATTGGATGTGGGGGTTTTTTAATCACTCCACTGCACAATCAACAAATACAATCAAAACCAATGACAGGTTGGTGGAAAGTAAAATAGAAACGCACATGTGCGAGGGTGGGTATAGGAGGATGAATGAAGGCGCAGTCGAAGAGGAGGCAAAGGGGGGGTGAGAGAAGGGACTGTGAGATGGAGTTCCAAAGAGAGTGGGGCAGAAAGGCTGAAGACTCAACTGATGATGGTGTGAGGCGTCAGGCAGGGGACATGGAGCAGGCCAGAGTCCGATGAGTGTTTAATACCTTATAGGGGCACAGGGAACGGTTTGTGGGGTCACGGTTTCACACTAGTCAGGAGCTACATGAGTGACCATGTATCAGATTTCACAATGCTGTCATCCTCCTCCAAGTCAACAAACAAGCATTCCAGCACAGAAACTCTTGAATATGAAAATGTTCTATTCAAACAGCAGAAGAACATCTGACTCCACATCACATGTTACAGAAAACCACGTCCCCTACTTTGAGTACATTGTTTGAATGTACTCATCTGATAATGATATATATCTATGTCAGCAGCCATATATAAGAGAAGCTCACCATTTAATTCCTGAGGTTTAAAAAAAAATGCAATTGATGCAATCAATATAAATTGTCTCAGATCTCAAGGCTGAAGTCTCAAGTCAATTGATGTGGCTCGAGTGAACACTATTTACGTCATCATTAGCAGTCGCAATGCAAAATGTAGAACAATATTTTTCAAACGTTAGCATTGGTATTAGTTAGGCATTGCATCAGTCATCTATTGCAGCAGTCATGTATGGTGTGGTCAGTTCTCTTTGCTTAAAGGTGGCATTATTGAGAATGTACCACAGGAAAGAACATAACTCACCCTCACATTTCTCACTCAGTAATTTCCTTGGTTTTACAGAGTTATTCTTTACTGTATATCAGTCTTGATCTTGCAGTGATCTGAGAAAGGATTTCAACATGCCCATTCCTTTTAAAATGAATAAGCACGAGCTTCAGAACAGAAGGTTCTGAGTTTAAATCCCATTGAATTCCCTTAGTTCAAAGTTGATTTAAAAAGAAATCCACGTGTAAAAATGCTTGGGGGGTGGGGTGAAGGTAAAGGCAAAAGAGGTCTTGTATAGGTTTAGACTCTCTTGGTAAATCCTGGTAGATCCAACCAGGTACAAAATTGCAAAAACAAATTGTGCGCAAGGAATTTTTTAATGTCCAACAAACCAGTACTGAAACTGCGCCTCATTAAAAGTAGAGCAGTTTGTACAGCAGCAGGGCAAGCCTGAGATCTGTGCTGAACTGGCAGCATCCCTTCAGGATTGAAGCTCATGGTATGGAGGGTACGTTGCTCTCTTCCACTTTGGTGACAGCACATCTTATTTGTGATTAGTGATTGCACTCTCAGCACCACACTGGAGATAGGGAGTTTGGAGCCATATGAATTTGGAGCAATTAGAATCAAAGATCATCAGAACATAAGAATTTGCCGAGGTCTATCCAGTTCGCCTTCCACCATCTTGGCAGTCGCTTGACATGTTATGTCCCAAATTATATATTGTATCCCTAAATATTATTTTCTAACAGAAATCTATATAATTTGTTCTTGAAAGAATCAACACGTTCTACCTCCACGGTCTCCCTAGGGAGCCTATAATAAACACTATAGCACAGGAAGCCATTCGGCCGTCAAGTCTATGATGGAACTAACAATCTAATCCCAGTTCCCTACTCTAATCCCAATTCCCTGCTCTTTCACACCTTCACCCCAGCGCTTTCTGCCCAGGAATTGAGCCCAGGTCTCGCTTGCGAGGTGAGTGTTCTAATCACTGAACTACAGGACTCCACATTAAGGAAAAAAAGAAATTTAATTGAGGTGTTTGAAAGGAAGAAGGGTAAGAAGGAAACGAGCAGCGACCTGGGGTTTGAAACATAAAGATGGGTCTTGAAGGAGGCATGGGGGAGGTGGAGCGACCGCAGGAAGGAGTTCCAGAGGGTGGGGCAAGAGTGGCTGAAGGCGCCGCCTGCCAATGATGGGATGGGTGAGGCTGGGTACGTGAAGCAGGTTGGAGCCCACTGAGCAGAGGGTGCGGGCAGGTTGGAAGGGGTTTAAGAGGTCGTAGAGGAAGGGAGGAGCAAGGCTATGGAGGGCTTTGAAGGTGAGGACCATGATCTTATATCCCTTTTGTGATGGGAAGCCAGTGGAGTCGGGCAAGGATGGGGTTGATAGGGTCATGGAGCCACACCATACCAATGAAGACGAAATGTCAGTGTGTCTGTCTCTGTATGTCAGTGTATCCATGAAGTAGAGACATGATTTATACCTCACCAGAAAGGTCTTGCAACTGGCAGTGTCATGGGCATTTTTTGGGGGGACCTCCTATCGTTGAGCTATATTTAAAAATGCTTTAATTAAGTCTCAAAATATGAAGTATGCATTGTATTCTGTAACGATGTAGTGACAGAGGAAAACACACTTTCAGAGGGATACATCTATAATCTGCAACAAATGTATGGCACTTTTTTCTGGTTGTCATAAGAGCTAGAGTCCACTCATGTGGGATAGACAGAGAGAGAGACTGAGATAGTGAGAGAGACCCAGAGAGAGAGACTGGGAGAGAATATATTATAAAATATAGTGACTGTGTTTTGTGGGAGAGAGTGTGGTGGGGGGAGACTGGGAGAGACAGGGTCACTACGAGAAAGAGAGAGAGAGAGAGACTTAGATAGTGAGAGACGCAGAGAGAGAGAGAGAGAGGGGGAGACTGGGAGAAACACAGAGAGAAGAGACAGAGAGAGAGAGCGACTGAGAGAAAATACATTAAAGGAGTCCTCCCACAGGAGTCCTCCCAGCAGTTTATAGTTAAAAGACAAGATGTTTTTCTACGTGTGTGGGTCAATCTACATTCCATATTGGATCCTTTGCAAGCGAAGCAACAGGTAACAGCTAGAATATTATAAAGTTTAATGACTGTTTTGTGGGAGAGACAGAGAGAGAAAGCAACTGAGAAGGAAACAGTGGGAGACTGGGAGACAGACACACAGAGAGAGAGAGACAGCAAGAGAGAGTAAACGCATCTGAGTGAGAGAGCTGTGAGAGACGATATATAATATTATAGTGTGTTGTGAGGGGGTTTGTGGGAGACAGAGAGAGACTGAGCGGGACTTATTAAGCCTCAAAGTATGAGGTATGCATGCAACAAGGCAGTGACCGACAAAACCATCAAACATTCTACGGCAGTTTTTTCTAGTTGTCGTGGGAGCTGAGAGTCCTACCAAACGAGTCCTCAAAACCAGCACTCCTCCCAACAGGATTCCTCCCACAGGAGTCCTCCCTATAGCACATTTTCTTAATCTTATGGGAAGATGCCTAAGAAATGAAAATCAAACTTTCCACTGACAAATAAAAATGCCAGCCAGAGAGAGAAGGCCAATTAAATGAAACTGAAGAACAAAGAACAGCACGTCTGCACTTCAATGCTGGAACAACTGCAAAACAAGGCAAAATGAATTGCCTGCTCAAAGAACAGCCCGGCTGCACCTTGATGTAGAAAGGCAGGCAAGAACACGGCAAAATGATACATAGCAGCAGAGGTCACTCCATTTACATCATGTAAAGTGTTATAATATAAAATATAATAATACTGAAATCTACCTTTTACCTTCCACATTGATCCCTTGGTTGCACACGTAGCTGCAACGGGTACAGCTAGTTTCTTTATAAACTGGAACTTCACCTCATTGACCTTCACTATAATAAGTTCTTCTGAAAGGTCATCGACCTGAAAAGTCACCTTCTCCATAGATGTAGCCTGACCTGCTGAGTATTCCCAGCGACTTCTGTTTTCATTACAATAATAAGTAATGCTTGCAAAATAAATTTTCTGTGCATAGAATTAACTTTCACGGTCTCCTTAATAACTATAGATCTCTGTATCTTATCAAATGATTGACAAATGCTGTCCCTTTCGCTCAATCCAGTGAATTCAGTAGCCCTTTCAAAGGGTAATGACTCAGGGACAAAAGTATTATAAGGACTAGTGTTAAATATTCTCTCTCCTTTCCTGTTTATTCCTATCAATGCATTTGATATGTGCCTTATCATTTGTTGAGAGGTCTCAGAGCATTGCAAACTAGATTGTAAAGTGTTGGTTACTGCATTTGTAGGCAAGTAGTGCAGCTAATTGCAGTATCACCCAGAAAGCAATGAAGTGAATGACCTGTTGTAGCTGTTGTGGGTTCAATGGCACCTCTAAGGAATGATTTCCTCTGGGAACTGTCAATGTGCAAAACTTTGGCTGCGGCCTGTTTTCCCATCCTATAGTCAGTAACCTCCCGATATAAACACAGACTGCTGAGGTTTATAACCAGTTTGAGAGGCAGCTTCCTCCCACCAAGCTCCTACGTCCTCTCTTATGAAAGCTACATCAGGCTTCAAATCGCCACACAGGAGCTTGAGGTCCTGACAGCGAGGGTTGAAGATGGCTCCATATTGAAGCCAGACCAACCAGCATTTGGTTATACTGTAACAGTATATCATACTCAGTGAGCTGATGTAAATAAGTGGCCTTGTGTTGATAACACTGCAAGCCTCCACCCAAGAGTAAACAGAAGAGCTTTATGATACAGATTTACATCTACATAAGTGTCTTTCACGTCGGGAGGACGTCCCAAGGCGCTTACCAAAAGTAGATTGGAGCTGTACTCCCGTGTTCAGGAATCCTTCTTAAGGAATCCTGTTGGACATCACAGTAACTGGCTCTCCATTGATTCAATAATATGGCTTTCTGACCAGGCATTGCAAGATGGTTGCGGTTTGTATTTCCTGTATTAATGGAATTTGCTTTTACTAAACACCAGTGTCTCTCTCTGGCACTGTGTTGGCATCTCTCTCTCCCTCTCCCTCTCTCCCTGTTGTGGTGAAGAACGCAGATTAACACATAATTAAAAGGCTAAATGCTCCTTTTATTCCCCAGATTGACGCTACAGGCATTAGGACAGAAGCTCAATGACTACTGCAAAGAAAAGAAGGCCAAAGAGGCTGACAGCACAGGGATGATAGATGAGCCACGGTGAGTGATCATTCATCATCTTGTTATATTAGTGTGTGAATGCATTCTCAGTTTCCTGGATGTATTTCTCTGAATCGTATACTAATTTCCACTTCCCCCCCCACCCCTCCAACTCACCTCAACCTTCATGGTTCAGATCCTATCCCTCACACCTGCTCCACTTTGTCTCTATAAACAACAACAACAAATTACTTTTTTATAATGCCTTTCACGTCAGGCGGATATCCCAACAGCTTCTCCTCTAGCCCCTCGCTGTCCCGTGTGGTGTTCCTTAGGGTTCTGTCCTTGGTCCTCTCCTCTTCAACCTGCGTTTTCTCCCTCTTGGTGACGTCATCTGCAGATATGGGATCAATTTCCACATGTCTGCGGATGACGCTCAACTCTATTTCTCTGCCTCCACTCTCAATTCCAGGACTACTGCTGTCCTGACAGACTGCCTATCAGATATCAAATCCTGGATGAGAGCTAACTTCCTACAGTTGAACATCAACAAGACCAAGGCTTTCCTGATTAGGTCCAGTCAACTCCCCAGGCACTGGCAGCATCACTATCCGTGGATGCACACTCCACCTCACTAAGCCAGTCCAGAATCGTGGCATCTTGTTTGCCCCTCAACTGTCCTTTCTCCCGCACATCCGTACCATGACCTGCTCTGCCTTCACCCACCTTCGCCTTATCTCCTGGCTCCGCTACTGCCTCACCCCTCAGGCCACCGAGACCCTCATCCACGCGTTTATCACATCCAAGCTTGACTATGCCAACTCCTTGCTTCTCGGCCTCTCCAACTCTTAACCTCTACAAGCTGCAGATCATCCCGAACTCTGCAGCTTGTGTCCTCTCCTGCACCAGACTCCGTGACTCTAAACCCCACCCTCTCACCCTCACCCTCAGGGTGCAATTCAAAATTCTCGTCCTTGCCTTCAGGGCTCTCCACGGCCTTACCCCTTCCTATCTCAATCACCTGCTAACCCCTTAGCAATCTGTCCGTGCTCTCTGCTCAGCCTGCTCCACGTCCGCACCTTGCCTGCCTCACCATCGGTGGTTGGGCCTTCAGCTTCTCGGCTCCCATTCGGAACTCCATCCCATATTCCCTTCACCTCACTCCCTCCCTCCCATGCTTCCTTTGAGGCATGTCTCAAGACCATCCCATTAACCGTGCCTTTGGCCATCCTCCTTTACCCCAATCCCATGCTCCCCCTCCTGCTCGGATCCAATTCCCTGACTATCCAGCGCCTTGGGACGTCCTCCGACGTGAAAGGCGCTATACAAATGTAATTTTGTATTGTATTATCCAACGAGTAGATACAGGCGACAGGCAGATCCCAAGCCAATCAGAGATGGTCACGAGGGGTACGGGCTCTACTTGTCAACAAGATAAGCCAATCAGGATAACATATTGTTAATGAGCCCGCAGACGTTTAAATCCGTCATTCGGCCCCTTCGGCAGTCAAAAGGCTGGTCCAACCTGGCACAAGCCACTTAGCCCATCTTGTCTGAACATTCCAGTCACCCTCTGGGAAACATTCAAGATGCCTCACCTCTTGCACATCAGTTAAGAAGGCTGATTGATTGCAGCCTAGAATAACTTCCCTTTTTCTCCCCAAGCTACACCATTGTTAAGCATACCCTGCACGAAGGTCACTACATACATGCAAGTTGTTATATATATTCTGACCGGCTGCAGACTGACCAGGTGAAGTGATCTTAAGAACGTGCGCTTCTATTGATTGCTCACATTCATGGTCAGACCAGCACTGCGTTCTAATGGGAACAATCCTGACCCAATCTTACGCAAGACACAATTTAACAAATTTGGCTACAAAACCTCACTTCATATAAAATGCTGTGAAATGCAAACCATCTGGCCGAGACTATTATCCAGTGCCTGGATACAATGCTTGCCACTCAAATCAGTTTTTCCAGATCACAACTGCTTGCATTTATATCGCCAACCCTTCACACAAGCTAGTGTCTCACAGCGCTGTGATCACAGGTATAAGCCACAAATCTCTACAGTTCCAGGTTGCAGTTACTAATCCTTGCATTTGACATAGCGCCTTATCACATTACTGAAATGCCTCAAAGCATTTCACAGCATTTTATATGAAGTGAGGTTTTGTAGGCAAATTTGTCAAATTGTTACTTTGAAGGTTATGGAACTGACATTGAGTTTGGATAAACACATAAGAAATGCTAGACGAACAAAGACCAAGATCCATCTAGTTCGCCTTCCACCTTTCTGGCGGTCGCATGCACATATGTCCCAAACTAGCTATGTACTATATCTCATAATGTTATTTCTTAAAAGAAAACTATCTAATCAGTGTTTGAAAGAATCAACACTTCCTGCTTCAACTGTCTCCCTAGGGAGCTTGTTCCATAGGTTCACTCTTCGCTCACTGAAATAGTGTTTGTGAGTAGATTTATTCTGAATTTCTCCCCCTTCATTTGCAGGCCTTGTCCTCTATTTTACTATTCTGGACTAGTTGAAGCAACCTGTCCTGATCTATATTGTTTAGCCCCTTTAGAATCTTAAAGACAGCATTCGTGTCACCTCTCAATCTTCTCTTCTTTCCAGCATGATCATGCCCAATTTACTTAGTTGCTCCTCATTGTCCAGTCCTTCCATTCCCTCAATCACTTTGGATGCCCTCCTCTGTATTTTCTTGATTTCTCCAATATCCTCTTTGTACTACGGCAACCAGAACTGTACACAGTACTCTACGTAAGGTCTCACGAATGATTTATACAGTGGCAGGATTACCCCACTATTTTGACTTGCTATTGATGTTTTGATACATCTCAACATATGGTTTGCTTTACTCACTGCTACAGAGCATTGTTGAGCAATCTTTAATTTATTATCAATCAAGACCCCCAGGTCCTTTTCATTTTCCAAACATATTATTTTCCTTCCATTCAAATAATATTCCCTTCCAGGATATTTTCTCCCCTTGTGAAGTACTTTATATTTCTCCACATTGAATTTCATCTGCCACCGATTTGCCCAATTCCCAAGTATGGTCAAATCCACCTGTAATCTATCTTGTTCAGCTTCGCAATCTACCATCTTCATTAGCTTGGTGTCATCTGCAAACTCAGCCACTGTGTTTGTGACTCCCAGTTCCAGATCATTTATGATCTGGGATTTTTGATTAAATAAGAGCGGTCCCAAAGCAGACTGCTGTGGAATTATACTGGTAACATTTTCCCTGTCTGATGAAATTCCCTGTACCACCACCCTCTGGGTTCTTCCGGTCAACCAATTGCGTATCCATTGTAATATACCTCCACTGATTCTCGTTTTCTTTATTTTAAGTACCAGCCTCTCGTTCCTCACTCTTTGCCTTGGAACGTTCTGATGGAGTCACAATCACTTCTGTAACATTTCATACATTCGTCCCTTCGATGTGCTCAATTGCATTCAGTGTTTGTCTATGAGTGAAGTTTTGAAATGACTGATGTGCTTTCCCCATGCAGAAGCTCCCCTGACCAGCCCTGGGTGCAGTGCGAGACATGCATGAAATGGCGCAAGTTGCCACCTGAAGTTGATCCCGATTCATTGCCAGAAAACTGGTACTGTAATATGAACCCTGACTCCAAATTCAGGTAAGAGGGAAGAGAACAGCAGGAATCAGTCTCTTGGGTCTGAACTTGTGACTCCCACCTTGGGGGTTTATCTAGATTCTGTCGTCCCATTCCCCTCTGGCCATGCTTTTTAAATGATTACATAGAGGACATGTTGTGTTATTGGGAGTATTTTACAAATGTTAAACTGTTTGCACATACATTAAGGCCGTTGTTGCAGTTGAAATTATTTGCATTCACTGGCTGTGGTGAGCTGATTTCCAACGATTCACTGAACAGTGGACATTTGTAATAATAATAATAATCCTTGCATTTGATATAGCGCTTTTCACGTCTTTTGATGTCTCAAAGCGCTTCACAGAATAGACTATAAAGTGAATTGACCATACATTTGTGGGCGAAACGCGACAGCCAATTGCGCACAGCAGCGTCCCACAAACAGTCGTGGATTGAAAATGACCAATTTATTTTTGTTTTGTTTTGGAGGGATTATTAGGCATGTGGAGTAAGGAAACTTGCCCAAGGTTTCGTGCTGTGGAAAGGATCAGAGATGTTTGAACTGAACAGCTTGATATTAGAATAATGATGAATGCACTGTATTGTTCCTGTATTGTTCTAGATGTCACTAGCACAATAATGAACCACAAAGCTATTTGCATATGCCTGCCTTAATAATGACATTAAATGCCAGAACATCAATACTGAAGTCCTGCAGCTTAGTGGATAGAGCACTCGCCTCGTAAGCAAGAGGACCTGGGTTTGATTCCCAGGCAGGGCGAAAAGTTGGGCAAGTTTCCTTACTCTGTAAGATACCTCTGTTTACGTAGCAGTAAGGAGGAACCCGGTTGTTAGTTGATTTGCAGATTGCTTTTCTGGGGGTAATAATCGCTCNAAAAAAAAATTGGTCTCTCAATATCTCTCTGTCATGATAAGGGGCTATATCAAATGCACAGATATTATTTTTATTCCTGCATCTATTCCACCTAAGGGATTTATAGATTGTGTCATCCCATTCCCTCCCTCAACCCCCTGTAAATTTTCTTCATGAACTTTGATCACCTTGGATCATCAGACAGCAATGATAAGAGTATTTCCATCAAGGCAGGTGATTGAGCAGGCCAGTTCATGAGGAGATAATCATTTGTCAAAGAAATAGATTGAGGAGTTTGAAGGACATAGTGTATGACTGAAGTCAATTAGATGGAGCACATCGTCTTTTTGGCCCTTTTCTACATTAATACATTTTGAGTTTTGATGAGGTAGATAGGGAAAAACTATTCCCGCTCGTCACTGAGTTGATGGGTAACCAGAGGACATAAACATGCGATCATTCCCAAAAACAAAGGGAGAATTAGAAGTTTTTTTCAACACTGATTTTAGGACAATGAATATACTACCAAAAATGATAGTTTAAAGCAGGGTGGTCCAACTCATTGGCTGTCGCGGGCCAGATTCCTTTTTGGAGAGGTGACTGCGGGCCGCATGAGCAATATTTTTGTGTTTCCCTTCCAGAAACATAACATTTACAGACCGCCTTTTTCACGACGGAAGGACTTCTCAAAGAGTTCAACATTGCCGACTGTGCAACTGAGCTGGGGGAGCCAAGGGAGGTGGGATGGGGAGGAGAATAAGATGACTGAAAGCGTGGTGTTAGTTCTTGACGTGCCTAGTAAGGGGAGGGAGGGAGCGAGTCGGAGAGACTCCAGGAATGGAGCTCCAGAGAGCAGGGTTAAAATGGCGATGGTGGGGTGGTTAATAGGTTTCAGAATGGAAAGGGGAAAATATTTGAAAAGAAAAAATATAAAAGAATACAGGGGAAAGGCATGAGAATGGGAGTCAATGGCTCGATCCTTCAGAGAAGCGGCACAGTTCCATTGGTCGAAACACACTCCTTTTATGATTCTGTAAATAATTTTTAAAAAAAATGCGATCTGGTAAATATTTTTCTGCAGATGGTGCCTGCTTGTTTAGGAACAGGGGTAGGTCATTCAGCCCCTCGAGCCTGTTCTGCCATTCTAGTAGATTGTGGCTGATAATTATTTGCGGAGGACAAGTTTGCAGGGCTATGGGAGAGAGCGGGGGATTGATTTGGATACCTCTTTTGAAAGAACCGGCACAGACACGATGGGCCGAATGGCCTCCTTCTGTGCTGTATAATTCTACGATTCTATAATCTCAACTCCAAATACCAGTATTTGCCCCATATCCCTTGATACCCTGACCTACCAAGTATTTATCCACCTCAGCCTTGAAAATTTAAATGGATCCAGAATCCACAGCCTGAACAGTTTGAACAACAGTACAATTGCCAAACATTCCAACAGCAAATTGACAACTCTGCCTTGTCCTTCAACTTGGGTAAACCTGGGAAAATACACACACAAATTGTAAATAAAAACTGTTTTGTCTAAATTGCAGAGATTGTTCCATTCCAGAAGAGCCGGAGGAGAATGACGACGAGATTACACCCAGTTATGAAAAAACATTTAAAAAGCAGTTAAGTATTATTGCTGTCATTCTTTTCAGCTTTTTTTTAATGTTTGATTTGGGTGAATTAATGCTTAATTCTGGTGAGTTTTAGGCGCTAGTTGGCAAGAGCCAAGGATTGGCGACTCGGTGTCCATTGGAGTCTAACCAGCTAAAACCACAGAGCTTGCCATTGAAAGTAGTGCCAGGCAAGCTGTTTGTCCAGCTAGGACCACTCTACCCATTAGGGCTTTGGCTTGCAGGGTTAACAGGAGCTGAGTGGGATGATTGATCTGCCCCCAGAGACTGGTCTGCACTTCCATGTCCTGCCGATGAGCCAGGCTGTCTGCTGTCATCAGCAGTGCCCTGGAATACTGTGGACCCACCTGGTTCAGAAACTGGACTAGAGACCACCGCAGAGGGTTGGCTTCATTCTGACATTCAGTTGCCAAACATGTCACCTGGAAATCCATCACCGTGGCTTGCTTCAACCCCTTTAATACTGACTATTGTTGCGATTTACCCTTGGGGGAGTCTTTTGTTTTACTTTGTGACTACCTAGGTGGACCACAGTGATCTTTTCTGGTTTTGGATACCTGTTTTCTTTCTGTTCTCCTGCTCTATTAAAACAAAGATAAGAAGACATTCTATTCTCAGAGACGTCGTGTTCTTTCTGATTTTTCCTGGCTCCTTTTTTTCAGAGATCAAAACCTCGAGAAGAAGAGAAGGAAGTCTCTGGATCCAGAGAAACTTATGGTAAGAATTTGTGGAGGTAAAGAATACATTGGAATACAGACACCTTGGCAAGCCATTGCCCAAGCCATTGGTTGGGTAGAATGAGACCTGAACAAATTAATCTTAACTTTCTGTTTCTGAGTTCAGTTTAATGACCCACCTAATCATTAAACTGGAAGTGTGTGTATTCCTTACAAGATATTAAAGCTTTTAAAAGTGCATTTGTGATACAATCAGCAGATAAACATCATGACATGATTTCTGGTACTATTTACTATTTACTGCCAATTCTGTCAGTCACAGTTGCTGCATGGTTAAGCGTTGCAGAATACTGTTCAAAATACTGTTCAGAGCAATTCCACAATATCACAGTCCTCAAAACATTGAGACTCGTCTTTTATTTGCTTTCTGTGACCTATTTCTCTTTCTTTCTACAATGATGAGATGTCTTGCAGCCAAACGCAACGTTTACTTCATAACAGAACTCAAGAAGCTATTCAGCTCATGTTACCAGCTGAAATGTTCTATTTTGACCTTTTTGAGAATGGCTTGGTCAATAGTTATTGAAATATAATTCTGTACCACTATATCTAAAAGCATAGAATGTAAAATAGTAGATTCATACCAAAGGCTTGAATTCCTGTGGTCCGTGGAGAATCTTGGAAAATTCTGAAATTCAAGTTTCAATTTGAAACCATTTTGTTTTAAAGAAGTGGAGAAAGTCGGCTTCCAAACCCAGACTGAATTTAAANTTTTTCTACAATTCTTCATGATATTCAATTTTAAGGCAAAGAACATGTGGGGAGTTTTGGACGGTAGTGGCTGAAAGCGCGACCACTGATGGTGGAACTGATGGCACAAGGGACAAGCCTGTATTGGAAAAGTGGAATGAAGAAATATTGGATGAATTATGACTTTTTCTTTTCATTTAAGTGAAGCAAGGCCGCATTGGCACTAAATAGGTCTTTTTTTAATCTTAAACATTTTTTTCAAAAAACAATGTAGCGATGAGTTGGTGTAGGGACTATTGTTTTCCGCACTGGGCAGTTGGAGTAGAAGACTGATGATGATGTGGTCTGTCCATGAATTCTATGCAGTCACACCTACATTTTATTTCCATATAGATTTGCTTATTGTGCAGTTGAATCCACATAAACATGCATAACCTGTCAGGTTTGTCCATTGAATGTGTGGGTTATGCAACAACAATAACTTGAATTTATAAAGGGCCCTTAATATCTTGAATTTGATATAACACCTTTCACGTTGGGGAGTGATAACTTTATACATTTATAAAGTGATAAAGCGCTTCACAGAACTTGCTGAGATTTGGGGTGATGGGCATGCAAAGTTTAGTGCGGATGAGGATACTGGGGCAGGGTTTTGCATTAGCTTGACCTTGTAGATGGGAAAACTAGAGGGACTAGTGAGGGGTGCGCGAATACAGATCAAAGCTATTGAAGCGGAGGAGAAAAACTGTTGCTACATCTAATCACGCAATAGAATTATCTCCCTTATACCAGACTAATGATGTTGCAGAAAATAAATCATTATGTATAAGTTTGTTGGTAGTAAAATGCAAAGTTGTCAAGGGATTATGGAAATGCCCTGAAATCCTGCAGTTCATACAATGTAGTTTAGATTTATATATTGCCTTTCACATGGTGTTGACAGCCCAAAGTGCATTCCCCCGCATCTGAAGCTGGGCATCAACTAATAGTTATTCTATATAAAACGCACTGAATAGTTGGGTCTAAAACATTGCGTGTAGTTTTCGTGATATTGCACATTGGCCACTGATCTGACCAAGGCAGAGGAGGGAGGGGTAAAATAAGGGGGAAGCATATCAATTGGGGCCTTGCAGTTGAAGTTGCAAATCACACCACGTACATGTTACACAGTATTGCGCAACTGACCCTCTCCCCTCTTCCGGTCTAATGCCGCTAAATAGTGCAGATTCTTGCACACTCGTTCCAGCATTTTTAAGCCAGTGAACTCAGGCACAAAACTAGGCTTATCCTGTGTGGATGTGGACTGTATTCATTGAATGCTCTCAGATTGCTTTTACAATTGCGAGCATCACAATGGCTTTAGGCATGTGTGCTGTGCCAGGCATGTAGAGTAGGTATATGCTCGCACATATATGGGTGACCATTCAGGAGACGATAGTAAACAGGCGTTTGTGGCATTCACTAACTGGTGCAAATGTGAGGCACCATTCTCTTGATATCCCATTCTCCCACTGGCCAGCTGTTTATAATGGCAGCATAGCTCCTTCACTTTAGATCTATAAATAATAATAATAATAATAATCCTTGCATTTGATGTAGTTCCTTATCATGTCTTTGAGACATCTCAAAGCGCTTCACGGAATATACTGTAAAATGTATTGACTGTATTGTGGGTGAAACACAGCTGCCAATTGCACACAACAGTGTCCCATAAACAGTTGTGAATTGAGTGACCAAATTATAATTTTTAAAAAAATGTTGCAAGGATTTATTGCCCCCAGAAAATTGCCTGACAACCGGATTCATACATTCTGTTAGGTAACCAGAAGCGTGTGAAGAAACTTGCTCAATGTTTTGTCCTGCCCGGGAATTGAAGCCAGGTCCTGTAGCTTGTGAGGCGAGTGCTCCATCCACTGAGCTACAGCTCTCCAAGTGAATCTGGTGCCAGGTTATGTGATGAGGTCCCCTCATGGAGGTCACTGGGTTCAGAGATCATCTGTGAGTGCGGAATTGGTGCTGCAATCAGCAGGACTTTGGTCTGCATCTTGGTAGCTGAAAAAGTTAGAGGATTTGGTTGGTCTGTACAGCAACATCCAATGAAAACAAGTTACAATAATAATCCTTGCCTAGGGATGTCTTCCTGATGTAAAAGGCCCTATATAAATGCAATTTGTTGTTGTATAATGCCTTGTCAGAAGGATGTCGCAAAGCGTTTTACAGGATATATTGCGAAATGGAGTGACTGTGTAATTGAAGGTAAACATGGCAGGTCAATTGCACACAGCAATATACTGTTAAACAAGAGTGAGGTGACTAGCCAATTAATTAGGGTTTGGAGAAATTTGGATTTTTAAATATAAAGCAGGGTAACAGGGAGAGAGAGACTCCATATTTGGAGTCTTGTAGCATATTGGTTAGAGCACTTGCCTCGCAAGCGAGAGGACCAGGGTTTGGTTCCCAGGCAGGGCAAAGCCTTAGGCAGGTGTCCTTACTCCACCCACCTCTGTTTACCTCGCATTCACAGTAAGTAGCCACCCGGTTATTAGTCGATTGGCGGATCACTTTCTGGAGGTAATAATCTCTTCAAAATAAATAAAATAATAATTTGGTAACTCAAACCACGACTTGCCCACTTTGCCACATTTTGCCCACATAATATACAGTCAATTCACTTTGCAGAAGCGCTTTGAGAGGTCTCAACGCTGTGATAAGGTGCAAGGTTTATTATTATATCTTTGACAGAGCAAAGACTGGGTTTTCCTGCCCCCTAGTGTTCATATGGTTCAACAACAGTTTTGTCTTGTGATGTTGGAGCATTTGAGTTGAGCTCTTTGAGGACACTCAGCAGTTTTCAGAATCAAGGTCTTTAAAATGAATGTTTAATATATTAAAAAAAAACTTTTATGCAAAATGCTATTAATATGTTACAGATTTATTTATTAAAAACTTTGAATGATTGCTGTAGAAGCCCTCGAAGAGAATGCTTTGTGTTCTGCTTCTCTGTCTTTTTGTTCCTTTCGTCCTACATCTATCCATCCTCTTGACTTTTCCTCCGCGTCCTTTCCTCTCTGTCTCTCTCGTCTTTTTTACCGTCCTCCCTCCATTGCTGTCTGGCTTTCTGTTATATTTTATAACCTGCATTTTTTCCCCCTTCTCATCCCTCCTTTATCCCATTTGTATTTGGTGATACCACAGCCTCTCCCCATTTCTGTTTGTTAAACACTAGCATTTTGAATTTGCAGGCAATGTTAGAGATGTGTCCGCTGCCTGTGTCCCACCCCTTTCCTCCCACTTGGAGTTTTCAACCCAGTTCTCGCTCAAGATGCTTTGCCACTTAAAAGGTCTGCTTTCAGTTCTCCTCGCCGAGTCCTCGCTCCACACTGAATCAATATCTGGGACAATGGTGAAGTTAATCTCTTAAGAATGCCTCGCTTATAAAGCCTTCCTTAGGCTTCCTTATTCACTCACATCTACTAATATGTCCCTGCCTAAGCTACAGCTACCTTGCATGCGTAGATAGAAAAATACCTTGCAGTTGGAGAATCCTAACTACTAGTAGGCTTGTCTAACATTCCTTTGTGTTATCTTGCCACTCCCCATCCCATGTTTCTAAAATTGGAATGAATAGAGTGGGAGAGTGAATGTAGTTTGTTCACTGCTCTGTGTAACCTACTTGCAACAAAAAAGATCTTCTGCAAAGGGCAATGTTTGATTTGACAGAATTGAAAACTTGATGCTGGTTTTACTTCCTCCATAAGGCCTGATTACCCCTGGGAACTTGCTTTGGCAGATTCAGATTGAATCCAAGTCAAGAGCCAGACTCATTCCAAATGGAGAGTGAAGATGGGCTACTTTACCATGAGATAATAATGATAATCTGCACATTTGATATGGTGCCTTATCACGTCATTGAGATGTCTCAAATTGCTTCACAGAATATACTGTAAAAGGAATTGACTATTTTTGTGGGCAAAACGCAGTAGCCACTTGCGTACATCAGTGTCCCACAAACAGTCGTGGGACTAAAGTAATGCCGTGACGAGAGTAATTCATTTTTTTTCTGTTCCAATTAAATAAATAATTCCAGTTAAAGAATGACACATGCACATGGCCACTTTGGAAATGAGCAATGTAGATATTAGTAATGATTACCAAACAAGTAAAGGGATTAACAAAGGAGGGTAGCAATGGCACAGATTCATGAACATTTCTGTCTTCTGTGTTTTTTACATTGCTCCTGCAACTTAGCATCGAGTTGAAATCCCACAAACATTGCCTTTAATTAATCCA